GGTTGAGATAGGATGACTGAACTTACAGTTAACCTTACCAAAATGGAACACACTGATACAAGTGTGTATTTGCCTGCAACCGGGGACCCCCTTTTGTCACTCTTTTGTCTGTGCTAACTTTTTAGGAAGACCTCCCATCATGTTTTACACGATCGTAAATTGGGGACCTTCGAGAATTGGAGACCCTATTGTCCTCTATTGTTCAACGTCCCCTATTGAATGCAGAAACAAACACACACACACACACGTGTGTATTTGCCTGCAATCGGGGACCCCCTTTTCTCCCTCTTTTTTTTTTTTTTTTTTTAAGGAAGACCTCCCTGTGTTTTGTACACCATCGAAAAATTGAAACATTGCTTCTATTCTGCTAAGAGAATCGTTACTGTAATTACTGTAATACTTGAGATGTGCATGCAATGGCAAACAATACAAAATGTCTTCGGGTAAACTTTTTTTATCTGCTGGATTTAATATTTTACAAATTCTGCTTTTAAAAATAAAACAGATTATAAACAAGAAAAGAAACGAGATTTCGGATATTTAATGAAAGTTTTAAGGGAAGGGGTTTGTGAGTGAATGAGCAGTAATGTACAGGGCGAGTCAGAAGGATCTGGACCCAAGTTCATCACTTCTTTGCCGCAAATAGAGCATTATGAGAAAAAACTGAGTGTTTCCTATGAATGGTTATTACTTTGTTTTCCACAGGAATTTTGAGTTTTCAAATTAGTGGCTGCGATGAGGAGTTTTGCCATTTTCATTGAAGTCAGCACACGGAATTGTTTTTTCCTTTTTTAAATGTATCAAAAACTTCACGTGAGTCAGTCACCAAGACTAGGTTTTTTATTTGCTATTACAGTGCTCCACATCAGTCTGCGATTTCAGACTAAATGTCTGAATATTTCAATGAGGAGAATAATTTGTTGAACCATGGAACCGTGGTCAGTCTTTTTCAGCACGTGTTCTTTGCTTCAAAATGGTACGATGAATATACAAGAAACTTTCGCCAAATATATCCAAAATACCAGCCTATAACATATCTCATTTGCACTTGTTTTGATAATTCAAAACATATTTTTAATATTTTCTTTAATACTGGTCCAGATCAATCTGACTCACCCTCTACTAGTACGGGAAGCTTGATGTTCAATATCAGCTGTGACGTGTTTAGATTGTTCTGTATATATATCAAACTAAATAAGGGAAACTGATTAAAATGATAAATTTGTTGTCATGGCTCTACCTTTCTCTATAGAGCGCACGTACGTGCAGAAACAACTAAATGAACCCATAGACCATGCACATGCGTGACATGAGAACGTGACATGAGAACATGACATTTGTAATTCTTAAGGTTTCCCCAAATGGAAAGCACAAAGCATGCCCTTATCATTCCGTGTCAAATCACGCAATGGTTAGGTGGGGTAATTTAGGCTGAAAAAGCTGAAATTTAAAGTTTTAGCGCCATCGGAAAAACCGTTTTCGTGCAACCACCCCAATTGTTTAGCAATTTTGTTCAAAATGGGCATGGCCACCAATTTTCAAAAGACCACATCTCCATAACCTGTGGGCCAAATTTGTTGATCTTGGTTGCTTTGGAAAGATAACGTCATTTGGATTAAAAATTTACCTTCAATTTTCATGTCAGAGTAATTTGAAGTATGATGATCTTTTGACCTTTACTTTGAACTTGAATTGGACCTTGTGGATCACGTGACCTTGAGACGAACTTTGATGAAAATCGTACCCCAGCATGTTTTCTACAACATATCCAAAAATTGGGATGTAATATTTTTGTTAGGGTTCTAGCTCATGTCAAAGTTGGCATAAGTGTTGCAAAATGTGATATCCCTATACAAGAACACATTTCAGGGGGGGGAAAAATCCCTATTTAAATCCACTAGTACACTGCGTAAGGATATCACATTTTGCAACACTTAAGCCAATTTTGAGATGAGCTAGAAACCACCAAAAAATATATATATTATACACACATGTACATGTACCCCAAATTTTTCGATATTCTATAGAAAACATGGTGGGGTTTAATTTTCATCCAAGTTCATCTCAAGGTCGGGTGATCCACGAGGTGAAATTTAAGGTCAAAGTAAAGGTCAAAAGGTTATTGTACTTCAGATAACCCTAACATGAAAAACAATGGTACATTTCGATTTTTCATGATGTAACCTTTCAAAAGAAACCAAGATTAACAAATTTGGCCCCCAGTTTATGAAGATATGGTCATTTGAAAATTAGCAGCCACGCCCATTTTGACCAAAATAGCCAAACAATGGCGGGCGGTAGCACGAAAACCATTTGTCTGACGGCACTAAAACTAAAAATTTCAGCTTTTTTAGCCTAAATTACCACATAAACAAAATATGAACCAATTTGAAGGGAGTTGGGTTAAAACATTAAAAATTTTGGGGTGATTTGACACGGAATGACCCCAGATTCAATTAATTCAATTCAATTCATATTTAGTATGAGGCACATCCTGTCCCTAACTTTTACAGTATTTTATCAGAATGGTCCTAAATCCTCACATTTTAATACAATTTTCACATAAGGCTCCGTCGACATCAAACTTTTATATCAACCAACTAAAATCAATAAAAACTGATATATATCGAATATTTTTAAAAACAAGTTACCAGAATGTACTTAGTTAAAAACAAGTACATTCTTGCCAGGCACACAGGCGTGTAATGGGCTGAAGCGCAATGCAAGAAAGCCAACTTTAAAAGAAATAAGAAGAAATGTATGTACAAATCCATGATTGTGAGGACATAATTGTGGTGACCACTTCCAACTTAATACCTCACGTGATGCTGAAAGCTGGCTGTACTTGCAAGGCGTATATGCAAAAACGTCATATCACAGACGTACACTGTACTCTCAATACAAAGGTTACCATCCTCGAGCCAGACTTTTAATACACCAGTGCCAGTAGTTGATTCAGGCTTCTTCAGGGGAACAAGTATTCAGTTGTAGAGGACTTCTAACAACATCCAATCATGCCCAACTTGGGACAACTTACCTTCAGACTAAATTTGTCCTGGAGTCTCAATGAAGTCTCTCTAGTATTTGAGCCAAATAAAGGCAGGGAAACAGGCTAGGCCAAGAAGAAAACAGCCAGATTGACGGAAAAAAAATACTGAAACAACCTGGTCTCCGTTCAATATACCAAGCAATATGACATTAAATGTCAATCTCGCCAAAACTGACTGAGCTATAACATTAAATCTAGAGCTAGAGGTGACCTGATTGATACACACATTGTTGTCTTGCCTCAACTTTGTGTTGTGCTAGAGAATGACTGGGCTTGACACGAGTCACAAAATTCAGTGACTCATTTTAACCCTGCAGCACAATTTTATGAATTTAAATGAAATAACCTAACTGATTTTTTTTTCAATTTCAGGGACTTAACTGTGTTATTCTCGAAGAGGTGCTTGCCTGAAAGGGTTGGTAAGAGTGCTCACCAAAGGTCCATGTTAATGGAAAAGGGTTATGTTAATTCAAACAATGAGTGTCTGTGAGCGCAATGGTAAGAATAATTTCATAAGGTGACAGATGGAATGTTCCAATATACGAGGCGAAGCTGAGTGGAATGGAACATTCCGTCTTTCACCAATTGAAATGATTCTTTCCATCGCACAAATGTAAAACATGCGTTATTTGTTTGATACAACACCTGAACAAGTCCTGATTGGTCAGAGCCACCAAAAGTGTGACTCTACATTGGAACTTCTAGTTTTTCCGTGCGGCTGCGCCATGCATTGCGATGAATACTTCAATGACATGTGATCAAGGACCCACCAATCAGATGACAGGGATTTATTCAGGCTGTGTATAATGTAGAATAAAAGGCAGTCGTGTCCCTTCAAAGAAGATCTTCCACCACCATGTATCAAATTCAGCAATGACCCTTAAGAGTATGTCCACGAGAGGACCATGCAGACGGTGACAAGGTGGGGGTCGGCGGATTTGGTTAAAATTTGGGGGGTAGGTGGGTCATAGGTAGCCTTGAGGTTGTACAAAATATTTGGCCAATCTGACCTCCGTAGCAGAAAAAAGAGCCAAAAATGTGTTTTTATTAGTGAAAAATGGTGATTTTTATGATTTTGGGGTACAAACGTTTAAACGCTTGCTGCTCAACAGGGGAAAGCAGCAGAGAAATGAAATTTGCAGGGTCCTGAGGTTGTATCCTGACCTAAAACCAGGTACTCAAAATTTAGAAAAAAATTGCTCTTAGGAGGCAACGGCACTAAGGGAACCCCCAAAGTTGAGTCATAGAAATAGCGATCTTTAAGTCGCCGTAGCGTCATTAGTGCAGGTCTTAGAACAATGACACTCAGGTGAAAGAGAGTTCTTATCATGGTCTTTAAGTATCAAGAATAAAAATATTGTCAGCAATTTTTAGTATAAAATGGCAGGAGTCTGTTTTACCCCTATTTTTCGCTAGTAAAGGGACGGGGGAGGGGCATACAGTGCCCCCCCCCTTTCTGTATTTTCAAAAGTCGACAACCAATTTTCATGAAATTTGCTACCAAGTTTTGTATTTCCAATTTGTAAATAATGACGTCAAAAATGTTTTTAAAAATATTTAACAGAGGGCTTTTTTGCACCTTTTTGGTCAAAAAGTGTATTTTTCACATAATTTTTGTCTTTTTTGCTTGAATGTTATGAAAATTGGCATAAAATGATCAATAAAATTAAAACCTATTTTAATACTGGAGACGCCATAAGGGGTGCTATAATTCCTTAATTTATCCCATTTTTAGGGTAGGGGGGTTCACTTTAAATCAATATGGCCGCCACCTTTCAGAGTCCAGGATGGAATGTATACCCTGCCCGATTTGTGGCAGAGGGAGTCCCCACAAATGTCCCTATACTCAACACACACTTGTCTTTGTGTTAACAGAAGTATCCCCCAATAATCATCTAAAGAATTCCTGAGATTACCAGAACACAATGAAGACACAATGGGGGGGGGGGGGGGGGGGTTACACACTGCCACATATCGTGCACCAAATGTGGGAATGATGAGGCTTGGATGACAATTCTGTTATTTTTTGGCATGTTAATGTAACCCGGAAAATTAATAAACTTGGAAAATAATAAATTGAATGAGAAAAACGCTAAATGTTGGGGTACTCGCTGTCAAAAATGAGATAGACCTAGATGGGGTAGGAACAAGTAGAGAGGAATTTGAATAAATAGAAACAATGACAAACAAATTTTTAGAAAGACCAAAAAAGAATGATTTATTTTACCAACCAAAATTTGAGGAAAACCTTTCAAAAAAACAATAATTAAAAAGGATCCAAATTAACTTTTATCCAAACCTTAAACCTGTTATCCACCCCACCAAATAAGTAAAATGGTAGTACTACAGTCGACTTTTGTTATAAAGAACACTTTTACAAAGATGTCCTACTGCTGCTTATAAAGAGCAAATTCTGAGGTCTCGAATCTCTAGTTCTCTTTGTGTCTCTTTGTTTCGCTGTCCTTTTAAAGCAACATTTCTGTTTAAAGAGGTAGTTTGGGCAGTCTCACCGACCTTGCTATAACGAGAGTCAACTGTACAAACTAAATTGAACTTTAAACTTATGGAAGTTGAAAGAAGAAAACTGAACCAACACAGTATCAAAATAGAATGACACATGGAACAATCTAACGATCAAACTCGAAAAAACAATTGAATATAAATCAAGAAATTGTTTTCCTTCTTAAATTAACATTAAAAAACAAGAACAGTCACTGTCTTCCAATAACAAACCATGATAACCCTTTGTTTAAACACAAAATACGTAAAGGAAGAGAACATGGAACCACTAATGCAAAAATGTTGGTAAAAAAGGATGCAATTAAAAAAAAAATGAAGACGGGCACTACTATCAAGATCTTGACCACTTTGTGATGATTCAGCAGTTGTTTCACCGATTGTAATCTTCATGAGCCCATCTTCTTGACGTGGTGCTAAACAATGAAGAACTAAACCAAAGGCTTCCTTTGCCTTCCTTCTATAATAATGGATGGTGCTATCAGATGCTTCGTCTAATGACAGATGAAGCTGCCCATCAACAGCAGACATTCCCCCCTGAGTAAGGAAAGTGTTCAGGGATTGCAGCTGCACATTCTTTGGTCAGGGGGTTGTTGCCCAAGAAGAGTCAAGTGCACCTACATCCTGTGTAATATCTCCATCAGTTGATGAGGACTCAGATGTATGCTAGAAATAATCATGAGAAAATAAAAACAGTGAGATGCGTGCTTCATATAGGGTTGAAATACAAATTGATGTACTCAAAGAAGAGTGCTTACAATTCATCTGTGATAAATGAGATGCAATATGTCAAGGTCCATTCTTAGTTCACTCTCTAATTACCTCATGAACTGAAGTGCACTCTGTGTTGGTGGGTTGGATAGATGGTACACCTACCGGCGATGTGAAATCACTGATTGTACACTGATGCTCTTCTTGTTCCTTAGAGAGCACATCACTAGATGGTAATTGTTCCGCTGTCTGGTGCGTAACTGCTTGTTTGTGCTAAGATAGACAACCTCTACAGATACCTGAAAGTCATATGAACAGTGAGAATTAACAAAGTGTTAAGGCCGCAGCAGGCTTAATATTTTTTTAAAGTAAAAGATATAAAGCGGGGCGTATGTAGCCAACAATATTGAGCAATAGATGCCTTGAACAAAACCCATGTCATAAATCCCCCCCCCAAAAAAAAAAAAAAAAATAATAATAAATAAATAAAAATAAGAAATCTTCTTTTATTATTTTATATTGCCTGTATTTAATTGCACTTATTACTTTTTCTTTTTCTGATGTGGCTGGCTCTGGAGGATTTGTATAAAAGGGGAAACAAATCTGAAATTGTTCTTTAAGTTGTAAATGGTCAGATGAGTCACATCTCGTAAATAAAAAAAAAAACAATGTAAGTGCAAAAAAAAATATATGTGTTATTCCCCAAACTGCGCATGTTCAGTGCAGTTCCAACTTTCTTTATATAAAAAAAATAAATTCAAAATCCAGCTCCGGCTAAATATCCACCATGTGTGTCCACTGCCGAAAACCAGAGCTGTGACAACCAGTATTAATTTTTTCACACAATAATAAATTTCACTGGTCCCAAGTCAACTGCATGATAAGGGATTTAATTGATATAACCTACCCAGGAACAAAGTCAGTTGATCAGAAATGGACCATGTCATGATTAATTCATTTCAATTTTAAAAATGTATTTTTGTTTGATTTCTGTCTTCTTACCTGTTCCAACACAACAGTGATCAGGGTACCCCATCGATCAAACATCTATGATCTCACGACTAGTTGCTTTATTCACACCACGGAATGGTTTGCCTTTCCCTTTATGGAGTGGATGACAACATTTCCTTGATGATGTCCAACTCAACCCTAACTTGTATCTATGTGCTGAACGTATTGTCTTATCATGATCAGTGTATGCATCGACGTCGAACAAACCACATCGCAGGCGCAGGACTGGAGGATCAGTTTCCACTCGACATTCACATCATATGCAGCGACTTTCCACTTCTGCAAATGGCTCCGTATGTCTTTTGTGCATCGATTAAGTTGCACTGTATTTAGTTCCCGCAGATAAGAGGGATTTACACCACATTCGATGGCTTTGCAACACTTAAAATTACTAAAATCACATTGCAGCCGCACAGACGGCATGTCCATGGCTGCCATTATGACGGTAATGTAATGCGAGGGCGCCCTCTTTCGATACCGCGCGCTAACTGGGTGGGCGGCAACAGGACGTTCCCCTCCTACCGGATCAGTGCGCACCACCAAAGGTAGCCCACTCACCCACCCACCCAATAGGTGAAGTCTGCAAAATGTAGATTTTGTTACGCTCTTACAACAATTCGTGCAAAATGTCGACCAATTGCACTCGGAACTGTCTAGGGGGCTATGTAGGTTTGGTCTTGAAAATTAGGAATTTTTCAACTTTGTTGACCATGAGCAAACAAAAAGAAGAAGAGCTGACAGTTTTTTTATTTTTTATTATTGTAGTCGGGTATCTGAACTATATTTCCTCCAAGTTTGTTGACTCTCAGCCCTGCATTAATTAAGTTATGGTTAACCGCGTAAAGGACTTCATTTCGTAATAGAGCTGATACGTGTTTTTCTTACGCCTATATCTCCGCAGTGAATGCTTGCATATCAAAGATTTATATTTCATCGTTTAGAGGAGATTAAACCCTTTCTTTTGATATGTAGGTCGACCGTAAACGATTTAGTTTAAGGGTATAAACGAGGCTATAACTTTACACCAGAAACAACACAAATTTACTCCCCGGAAGTCACCCTTTTTGCTCAAAATTGTTAGGGCCCCGTACTCGGCCACCGTGTGATTATTTATCGAGCTACTCCACCGAGTGGTATCGTCTCAGGTGGGGATCAAATGGCCAAGATTTGAACTTAATTCGCTGACCCCCCACCTTGTCGATTTTTCAGGATTTTGCATGGTCTTCTCATAAACGCACACTTAAGCTTCCTTCCATAGTCAACATTTACAACAGCATGTATCACTGACAAGTAAACGCCATGCAATCGTGTATTGTGGAAGGAGAGGAAAACTGAAAACTCTCATCTCCAGTTCTTGATCTCCAGCTCGCTTCAGGTGCTGTGCATGGGCAATTAATTTCCCACTTACTTTTCCATTGTCAAACAATGTCTACTCTCAGCCAAAACTGCAGGAATTTGTGTCCAAAATTACATTTACAGATACATGTACATGTAGGAGAAATTTGACCCCTGCCTAAAAAAAAAATTACTTCATTGACAAAACCAACTAAATTTTGGAAGGAAAATACAGTTTCATGGAGAGTTGACCTATCGTGGTAGAATTGCGCAACGCAACTTTTGAAACATTGTCCAATTACATGATACATAAATCGACGCAGAACGCACAAAATCTCAGACAAACAAAACTTCCATAGGGTTGTATAAGGGGTGTGGCTACGTGCCAATGAGCTATAGGTCAATTGAGCACCAACACAAAGGAAACAGCCATTTGATGATATGGGGAAGACCATCTTTCAAGGGACAATACTATAGTGCATTCATACAAGAGTGATAGATGTAGGTATTACTCAGCCTCCCTGCTAGACTCCCCACCAGCCGCATTGGGGGCAGTTGTCCTCGATCTCAGGCCTCGTCGTGGCAGGACCGATGTGTCTTCTAGATGCTTCTCTGCCTCCGCACGGTCAATTTCCTCTTGCACATGCTCGGCATAGGCTGACTTGGAGATGTGTTGGTGGCAAAGGAAGCACAATTCAGTTGCTTCTGAGTCTTTGCTTGCTTCACTCCTGAAAAGCCAAAAATGCATGCTGATTTAACAAGCGCCAAATGATCTCGGAAGCTGCGGCCCAACTGTAGTAGACCTGTTATAGCCTATAAGTACAGTATGTGAAAGTCTGTTTTTATAATGCACAACTCAGTACTGACGTGGTTGTGACTGTCAATTGAAATACAGGATTCGTATTTGTTGAATGTCACTTGGTGCATGGAGAGTTTTATAGCTGTATGCTATGTAAATGTAGAACACCAAACACACTCAACACAAGGTGACCGAGTCAGCCAATCCAAGGGTATAGTAGCTCATCTGTAGATTTCGCTTAAGCCTAAAAGGGCCGGGCTATTTTGACCATCTCTCAGCCGGAAGGGGGGGGGGGGCGATTCCGCTCCCACCTAAGATCTCGACAATCCAGTGACAAATTTGAGGAAAATTGTTCGCTGCGCAGCAACCCGTTGTCCGATTTTTATGTTTTTGGTATCAAAAGATGTGCAAGGCTCGAGGCTAAAAAGTCATAACAGCTCGGGTCGCGAACATTTTTTTTCAAGGCTATCACGGAAAAAGTTGAGGGGGGGATTCCACCCCCCTTGGCCCTTTTAGGGTTAATAGAAAACCCAATTAAATAAACCCAATCCAATATTATTGCTTTTGTATTTACATCCATCTGGTTGCTCAGGGTCACAGAGTGACTTTATTTTAATAAAACTAATTTACTCTTTATTGGTTGTAGAAACAAGATTTATTCTCATGTGGCCTGAATCTAGTACATTGGAAGTTGGAATGTGTTTTATGTAGAGGGTAACGCAATATATTTTTATTGATTCCGGCATTGGTTAGCTAGCCAAACCATGTTTTGTTGAGCCTGTGACGTTTAAATAATTAAGCCACACCTAGTTTGTCATTGGCCAATGGGGCTTACGTAATACTTAATGTGAATTTTAAATAGGCAAGGAGAAGCCTGAGTGGACAGACTGAACTTATCATGTTAATTTATGCATAGGAATAATTTTATTTTGGGTATACAAGCGTAGGCAAATGTAAGAGAAAGCACTTGCTAAGAGAATTCTGAGTAGAGGGCAGTGGCCAGACTCGAAGATAGTGCTTGTTATTAAGACTTGGAAGCCAAAGGAGATAGGGCATAGCCAGCCTGCGGCAGAGCTAATGAGAGCTCATTTGAGTTTGAACTAATGAGAGTTCACGAATCACAAAATTCAGTCAACAGAGCTGTGAGAGTTGCAATATATTTTGCTGGAGACAACCAAACTTGTGAAGCAGTGTATAAGCCAGGAGTCCTTCAATTCCTGTAAGTTTAACTATAAATGAAATTATAAAACTTTGCTTAATTGATTCATTTTGTGGGGAACATATCACTTTAATAATTGGAGACTAATTTTTATGAGATTTTTGGAAAGATTAGACCGGGACCAGAGGACCGTGTGGACTCCGCTGGCTAAGTGGGAAAGCTACGGGCATAGCGCATTTGCTGGACGCGAGACAACAAGAGACACTTGGACACTTCCTTGCTCTATGCTGTAACTAATATTTGTGATTGTATTTAAATACTGGAAGTTGCCCCTGAATCTGAATTTAATAAGGAATATAAATCATGTGTATGATAAGTCTTGTAAATAATTATAAATATTGTAAAGAGAAGAGTGAAGGCCTAGTTTTCTCTGAGTGTCAGTACTTTTCGTTGGATGGTGACTGTAACCAAGGGTCCATTTCATGGGGTGGGCAAACCCTGGGATGTGACACTCAGGGTATACTTAAAGTGCTACGAGTGTCAAACTCTTCAGCCGTTGTACAAAGTCCTTTCTGGGAATGTGGCAGATGACAACAGCAGTAAGCCATGTGACACGTTCTCAGCCAATCAGGAGACAGATCTCATGGGAGAAGTGTCATAATAAGTACCGTTTGTCTGCACTGGAAAGCTTTTGTCTCTTTGCTGGCCGGTCTGGTGCCCTTGTTCTCTTCCTTTCACGCAACTGGAGCTTATTGTCCTCCACCAACTGCAGTAGGCTGGCGTCCAGTTGGTCAGCTGATTCTGAGCAGCTCTCACTGCTCTCTTCATCAAGCCCGTGGTCAGGGTCAGACCTAAACAGTTAATATGATCACTTTGATTGCTGGTTTTATTTACATATTGTATTGGTAGCCAAGAGGTTTTATTGGAACAACGAATAGGAAAAATCAACAGGAAAATGAACCCAGATCCTCTGATTCTGAGTCACAAATCCTGACCAAATAAAAAAGAAAAGAAAAGAAGATTGAAGGTAGCATTTATCAGGTATGCAGTGGAGATTTGTTTTCCCTCATGCATTTGGTCTGGGTGGGAAGAGGAACATGGGTGTCGCCAGGATTTTGTCTAGAGGGGGGCAAAGCACATTTTCTCCCCGAAATCCCTGTACTTTTCCAGCATATCATCTCGATTTATCATTTTTCGAGGGTGGGCAGGGAGATATGCCCCCCCCCCCACCCATTAAATTAACAGCAAAATGACTTCACACCTCTATTTTTTTCTTGTTTCCCCCCCCCCCCTCCTTTTTTGGGTGCTTTTCCTGCGGGTGGGGTGGGGGGGGGGGGGGGGACAAGTGCCCCCTCCCCCCCCCCCCCCCCTGCTCACGACGCCCATGAAGAGGAGAGGTCAATTTGAAATTGGCTTGAGCTGCAATGGGGAAGGAGGCTTTAGGGTGAAATGTGCCTGTTCGGTTCCCCTTTAATTATCACACAACCTTATCCCATTATCAACACTGACAAATAATTACTTGTTGGCAATCACATCTGATAACAAAATACAACAGACATACGCGACCCAGCAGCTCAAGGATGATTTTAAAAGAACAAACCTAGATATAAGGTAAGAATGTTCACCTACCTCTTTCTAATCACAGAGTCTTGAATGGGGTTTCTATTATGCTTTGGGGCATCTATGAGAACAAAGACAGAACCACCACAATATTTTTATATTGGCTTTTTCTTTTTCTCTTCACAATCTATCCATGTTATAAGCACTGTATAGATGGGTCATTCTATAAATTTAGGCTCCACACATTTTGCCTGTCCCCGTTACCTTGGTACTTTGTAATTTGCCATTCAAGTATCATTAAGAATGACCTTTCAGAACAGTTTTTTATTTGTTGGGTAGCAGTAGCCTTGACCAAGCCTGTAAAGCCAAGCTTTTTCCCCGAACAAACGGTCCGGCAGCTGTTTTACCCTACTTGTATGCTGCGCCACGCCCAGCCCCCTTGCTAGCTCCTCTTTGCCTGTGCCATGTCCTAGACACAAATCCACACTGTACACGGACATACAGTATAATACAGTAACCATGCCGTGGGAGTCAAGCGGAAGACAGTCTTGATGCAACGGTATACATTCAATATATTAAAGTATGTGCTTTGGTAACTAGTCTTCTCTCATTGGATAATGGCTGACAATAAAATAAATATTCATCACTACTGCACCGTATGCAGTCGAAGGTCAATAAACTTTGAACACCTTTTTGCCTCTAGAGACATTCTAGAGCCAACTTGTGCTTCAAAATTCCTCCAAAACCTTCTCATTCGTAAACCGTTTCAAAGATTACTTTGGTGCGATTTTCCAGTTTTATTTTGAAGTGTGCATTGGATCCTTTTGCAATGCACCCTTATAATAAGATTTTTATTACCCTGACAAACATGCAGTTGAATAATGTGAGTGGAGATAATAATAATTTATCAGAATTTGTCAACTTGAAAAAAACTGTTAAATTTCTGAGATTCATTCAAGAGTGCCACGTTAAAAATTAAGCAGTCGATTTTGTGCCCAATTGTTTAAGCCACCGTTTTTGAATTTAAGTCTAAATTTCATGACACTAAAATTGTTCACAAGGTTAATAGGAATCATGATGCTTCTTGGAATCAATACAAAAGTTTGCTAAAAAAACACAAACAAACATACATAAACAAATACATGTAGGCAAAAACCCACATTAAAAACCAACTCATTCTATTTTGTAGTCTGAAAAAGCAACCCATTCTGCCTTAAAGAAGAAATAGAGTTAGGAATTAGAAGGAGGTCATATTTGTTCCATAAGGCCATGCGCGTCGTAGCCATGCGCGTCGGCAAAATGAAAAAAAAAAATTCAATGTAAGATGATGTCTCAAAACTGCCAAACTCACTGGTTTGACTGGAATCCTGCTGCTGCACAATTTTAACATGTTTGTTTTTAGATGGGGTTACGATCGAGTATAAGCTTTATGTGGCCTCTCTGGACTCCCATATATTTTGCACTAAATTTAGTCGGGCACCATTTGCAGTCATCAGCCGACATTTGAAGAAAAAAAAGTAAAAAACAAACAAAAAACCCGCGTCGCCGCACCACTTTTGGGGCAAGTTCCATACCAGAAACCGAAACCTTTTTTTGGGGGCGTAAGATAAAAAAAAAACACCTTTGACTTGATTTTGTCTGGGCCTCATAATCAGTGTGATAAATTTGTAGAAGAGTTTCGTGATGACTTTATTTGTAGCTGGTCTGGTAGGTTACATAACGATACTAAAGGAACGCATAGCTACAAAAACAAACTGAGAACCTACCGGACGTTTAAAAAAAGAGTATGAAATGCAACCCTATTTATGTTTTTTGAATAATCCTCAATTCAGACATTATTTGTCTAGATTTAAAAGCTCAGCTTATAAACTGCTTGTAGAAACTGGAAGGTATACTGGTTTAGAATTTAACCAACGTATTTGTCCATACTGTCTGGAAGAGGTAGAAACAGAAATGCATTTTTTAAGTTCCTTTCCCATGTACAATTATTTGAGGAAAAAAAACATGCAAGATACCGTTCATAAAAGTAATGCAGATTTCATTATTTTATCTAGAATTATTATATTGTTTAGCCAAGTTTAGCCAAATTCATTTTTCTGTAGGCTAAGTTAAAAGATATTAATCTAATGAGTGTAAAATGAGAAGGCTCTTAGCTATTTCCTATGTCATGATTTGAACTTTAATTGTATTATTTGAACCTTTTGATGTAACCCCCCCCCCCCCCCCCCCCAGGGTAACGGTATGTAAATGCTGGGAAAAAAAGAAAACCAAACATGTTCATGTAGTCTGGTTCCCTGACCCCACTTGAGATGAAACAGAGAAATGTATAGACTTTGGGGAATAGTAAGGTCAGAGAATCAGTCTGGCAGGCTTGTACCTCTCCACAGGTGTGTAAACAATTGCAAAGAAATGCGGAACAACTGTTATGAAAAATTCGGAGCGATTTTTGAAGAAATTTTTTTTTTTTTCTCCAACGCTTGGGAAAATACACATTTTCTTGAAAATGTCAGCACACCAGGATACACGATTTTACAGCATGCTTTAGACTGCCATTCTCTTACAATTCAGTAAGGTATTTCGTGATAATTTGATCCTTTTGTTTTTTGATGTTTGCAAATGTTGTATCTTCCCTTTAATAATTGACGTACTGTACACTTTTGAAACTGTACAGGTTCTGTTTGGTTAAAGAATCGTGCATTCTCTGAAGGCATGTTGGAGTTGGCTGGTCTTAAAAATCCGGGGGCCGCTAAAGGGCCCAAGAAAAGTTTTGTATTCTAGATGCTGTGTGGTTCGTTCTAAAGCAAGTTCTGTCCACTTTAACCAATTGTTATTAGAAAAAGATGGTGGTGTATGCAGTGGCTGTCTTTTCTGCGGCATCACTTAAAAAGTCCCCCCATCCGCGTTGAATTGCCCAAGCCTAACCTGGGCCCAATTTTTGGGCTCTGCTTACCGTTAGCGAAAAATCCCTGCTTACTACGGCAGAAAATTGCGTGCTGATTGTAAGCGTATTTCACGTGTTAGCAAGGAATTTTGGCTTATGCGCATGCGTACTTCCCGTAACTAAGGATTCTGTGCTTACGGGTTAGCACAGAATTGTTCTGTTAGAGCGGTTATCACAAAATTGTGACCGTAAGCACGGAATTCTTTGGTTAGCAGAGCCAAGAAATTGGGCCCAGTGTAAATAAATATTTGAAGCCTGTCAACCAAGAGACACTACATGAGGAAACACTACACGAGGAAAGTCAACGAAAACATCATCAGAGGACTCCACTCTACACAATACCAGCACTGGCTCTGGGCAGTCCACGCAGCAGACATGGAGACCATACGAGATTCACTCATATCACTTCAAAACTTACACGTACCTTCTCGAACAATCTTGGCAGCTACCCCTCTCATAGGTCTTGACTTCGATTTATCATTTGCAGTTTGATCCCTGCAGAGTAAACACGGTTCCAAATTACAAATAAAACTCTTCGTTTTTTTAAATTTTAAAACTAACTTTTCATTTTAGAGTTGCTATAGATATTGTTGGGCCCATTCAGAGATGTTTGACATGGTTCTGTCTGCATTATGTGTGGCACCACACGCCACAGTTGTGGTAAATATTTGGGTTTAATTACGACGACTCCGGCACCAGCAGTGTAATTTGACATGTGCAAACAATGTGCAGCCGAAAAAACTGTAGCTACAATGCATCACAATAGCGTGAAGATCTTGTATGTGACTTACGGGACAATGTGGAGCTTAAGATATTTGCCTTTATATGGTTAATGCTTACAATGCAAATATACATGTACATTGTATGATGGCGGAAAACAAGTGAGGATATGTTGTGTCAAGTGGGGCAAGGGTTCAGAAAAGCCTTGAATTAGGTATTCATGTGGAAGAATTATTATTCATGAGTATAATGGAGAATATTGACCAATAGTGTGCCTATTAAATTCAAACAATGTTACATGTAACATGGACAGGCAAGCAGAATAGTATTCAGCCCCCCCCCCCCAAAAAAAACCCACCCAAACAAATATCAAATTAATGAAATAAATTTGGTAAAGTAATAACATGCTTGATGGCACCCAACCCCCAAGATGATTTATTTAAAATTTTACCATGGCGTTATTACATGTAAAAAGTCTGCAAAGTATCTATACCAAGCATTGCAAAAAAAACCCCAAGAATTAATTTTTATCCTCACATGATATTTAACTGGATCTTACTGGGTGTATAATTTCATTTCTGTTTTTCATTTCCTTAGTGCCTTTCAGTGAAATACAAGAGAGAAAACAGCCTTTCTTGAAGCACAGCACTGCACTGCAAGTTGCAGACCCCAGCTTTTGTACATAAATTACTAGAGTTGTAACGTCGGTCTTATAGGCTTATCTGGTTCAGCTTTAGGTCTAGAATCCTTTTTCGCTGATCGCTGACAACATCAAAACCAAATTGCATTATACAAGTGGGCATGTACCAGTATCTATTTAATTTTGAAAAGGAGGGCATAAATTTAGCCGGCGTTCGAATCCAAGAGCTTAATAAAAAATTGCCCAAAGCCAATGATGAAACCACGAATTGGAAAATGTGTCCGGATCCGGGATTTTATTTGGTACGTTCTAGAACCACAAAATGGGCGCATGACAAGCAGCCGCTGTACTGACTGTAATCGCAAAGTGACATTAAGCACCGTCAATACATGTATATCGATATTACTCGATTATTCAATATTGTTTTGATATCGATATCACCAATGTCATTTTTTTTATCATTCTGGAATTCGTGGTCTCCAGTATACAATGCAAAAACTCAAGAGAAACTGCCCTTTTTTGGGGCTTGGAGAAGTTCCGTTGTCTGCCGTATATTTCGTACGTTCTCTCACCTGTAATGGACGGCACTGTAGTTGATGAAACTAACTGATCGAGGAATGGCTCTGGAAAAAGGCGTGGAATTGATTTGTTTATTTTTGGTGGTTTGAAGAAGTTCCTTGTTTAATAGTAATATGTTCCCACATATTTCTTGCCGGGTATTCCCCCACCCATCAGCCGTCCTTTTATGTGCACTGTCACCATGGATATGCCAAGCAACAACATGCCAGTGGGTAGGTAAGGCCCACTTCAGTGCCCTCCCCCACTAAATTTGCTGTTGAAAGGATACTGAAGTGGTAGGTAAATTTATTAAGGTACACCATTTTCATTCTAACTTCGAACTTCCTCCTATTTGCATAAATTTAAATAAGCATTAGCCACACCAAAAACCCTTATTTCATTGATAATACCAGAAAGGTCATATGATTTTTTTCTGTTGAGGTGTTGGGCTGAAAATTGTTATTCTACGAATTTACTGTTTTTGTTATTCTCCAAGACACATTCTTCTCCAGAAATGTTTGTCAAAATGAAATCATATATGAACTTCAATTGTCAATACATGAATGCACGACCCACTGAAGATGTGCTTTTTTTGCAATTACGTCATCATGACGTCATCATGGGTCACGTGACGTCACTTCAAAAAATAATAAATTTAATCTTTGAAATTCAATATAACATCAACTGTTACAGATTTGATTTGATATTTTATGGCAGTCGATACAATATTGCAGGGTCTTCATTTTTGGTATTGAGTGCAAAATCACGTGACCCTTCCTTCCGGTACAAACCGGAAGTGCCCAATAATTTGAAATTGGCAAAAGATGTGAACTTGCTTTCAACGATGTGAATTTTTGCCTAGGCTGTACTTTACAAAAATATTTACAGATGACGTCATAAAATGTTAGAGCGCCCTCCAGCGGCATGTTTTGAAAAGTCAAACATGCATTTTGATTTGGTGTGTGTTGCAAAGCTGGCGGTAATCAATGGCCCAACACCGTGTGGTTGTTCCTACAACCTCTAGTTTTACTTTGTTGTTGCTGAGAATATTAATTGAAATGATACAAAGCCACTGATGATGGTATTTTTGCGTCGTCTTTTAATCTTATTGCTTAAAGTGAATTCCTTTCTTCAACACTGTGACTAGAAAGTGCACTGTATTGAAAACAAAATCGATACAAAAGCACAGCCAGTAGGATTTACCTGTGATGTTGAGTTCCAGCTGTGCTTGGTCCGGCTAACCCTTCATTGTTATTAGGCACGGTTGCGTTTCTATCATTGTACACATGTTGCTGGCCAAGTGCCATCCCTGCTGTAACACCTACAGTTGGCTCCCTGGGGCCCTGTGCCAAACCCAGTCTTTCATCTGTAAGATAAGATCCAAAAATGCACTTAAGCAATTAATGGACTTTTTTAAATGGACTATTTTTCATCCTGTCATTGTTCAACTCCAAGGTTGACACAAGAAACTCACAGCTTTGTGTTTGGAGGTGCATGTCAATGAATTGCTGTTTTACCTGTGACAGAGTTTTAGAGTTCCTACATGTACATGATTCTGAAGAAAGTCAGACATTGTTTTCAATATGGCAGGCAGAGGTGATTTAACAACTGCTTTGACACCATAAAAAAAAATCATACACGAACAGCACTTGTAATTGCTGTTATTAGAGAGGTTTCGCAAGCGAACGGATAGCGTGCCGGATACATGTAGGTCTTCAGTTTGTGTGGTCTTGTGACGCAACTCGTTATCTGCTTTGACGCCATAAAAAAATCATACAAAAACAATTTTCCCTTCTATTCGTTGGGAAAATAATAGCGATTTGTCGCTCTTCTGTTGACATCATCAACAATGTATGTTTTGTACAAAAAAATTGGGAGCCAAGGCTGATGTTCGATATAGCCGAATGATCGGTATAGCGGAATGTTCGGTATAGTGGTGTTCGGTATAGCGACGTTCCACTGTAGTACACAATGGAAATGAACTGTGCTTATTGAAGGAATGAGACAGTCTTTCTGATTATTCAAGTGGTCCTTAGGCCCCCCCCCCCCCCCCCCCCCCCCGCAAAAATAATTCTGCTGCTGGTTTCTCTCCTTCCCCTCTCATTCTGACAGCCCTATCCTAATTTTTTTTATGGGAAAATGAGAAAAAATACCCAATACCATCAACTTCTACCTTTTACCGTTTACTATCGGTACATGCAGACGTTGCCAAACGATTGTATACAAAAAAAATGGCCAAAAAAACCCATTCTTTACCTACCTATCCTCTTTTCGAAAGCCATGTAATCAGAGGCAGAAGTATTTTGGCCTTACAACTATCTTCTCAAAGCTTATCATTCAGACAGTATACAATTAGGTTTCTCTGCAAGCGGCATAGCCAGGGTTCTCATAAGGGGGGGGGGGGGGGGTGTCTGGGTGAGGCTTGAGGTTACAATGGAGGGGCGCCCACAACTTTCATCTGTGCTAAAAAGTAGTCAGGTTTTTTGTCACCGGAGACACGACCTCCGTAAAGTTGATTATCCGCTGGCGAAATCCGGGGGCCACCTCATTAGGCAGGCAAGATGATGTACAATACAAGGTTGTGACAACAATTAAAACCACTAATTGAGAACAATCTGTTCTCATTGACCATGGATATTGTAACGATCTAGAAAGACGATCTTGTAGCCATGTATGAGTCTAACTGAACAAGAAAAACTGATTGTCTGCAAAATCTGCAAACACAACCAAACAAGAAGTTTTGCAGTATGCGTTGCTAGGTTTGATCTATACCAAGATGTCCAGCCATTGGTATTTCATAGGCTACTCGTAAAATCTCAGCCCTGTACTGTTTCAGACTAATAACAGGCAGCTCGATGCTGCCTGTTAGGCGCAAGGAAGCTAATTCAATCACAATAACCATCTCTGCCCTCACAGGTACCTATTTACTCCTGGGTGGGGAGAAGCAATGAGTGACAAAGTGCCTTGCCCAAGGGCACACACACCATGACCCCAGGCTGGACTCGAACCCACAACCTGCAGCTTTTCCTGCAGACCACGAATCCAATGCCCTTAACCACGAGGCCACAGCACTCCACAATTTGCTGTGGAAGAGGAAGTGAAAGAAAGCTCAGGAGACATCCAGATAGGAGCTTGTGAGGAGGAATTGTGTAAAACTCAGAAGACTGATGAAACTTGGCAGGGACATGGGATAGAGTGATATCTGACAAAGATGTGACTAAGGAGAAAGTAACAAGCAACCAAGGACTTTCAGACAAAACTTTAGATTATTAGTCTGAAACAGTACAGGGCTGAGATTTTACGAGTAGCCCATGAAATACCAATGGCTGGACATCTTGGAATAGATCAAACCCAGCAACGCATACTGCAAAACTTCTTCTGGCCGGTTGTGTTTGCAGATTTTGCAGACAATCGGTTTTTCTTGCTCAGTTCGTTAAGACTCATTCATGGCTACAAGATCGTCTTTCTAGATCGTTACAATATCCATGGTCAATGAAAACAGATTGTTCTCAATTAGTGGTTTTAATTGTTGTCACAACCTTGTATTGTACATGCAACGCTTCATCTTGCCTGCCTAATGAGGTGGCCCCCGGATTTCGCCAGCGGTTATTCAATGCATGAACACATACAAACACAGACTCCCACCCACACATTTTGTGTGTTAAAGTATAGCGGTTAAAAGTATAGCGGTGAACCAGTGATAGTAAATACCGTGCCCTTCACTACATGTATCTGCCATCTGACTTTAAACTTAAAGATATACATGTAGTCCATCATTTGTAATTTGTGCATTTTGTTTGAAGCAACATAAGGGCTCAAAATGTAAAGCAGGGTGCTGAAGAACTAACCTGATGAAGTTTCAGCTCAGCTTCAGCTGTATATTCCGAGAAAAACAGCATTCTAGGATCTCCATTTCAAATCAAAAGTTGCTGAATCATGTTTTGAATTGGGCCTGAATTCAGCGTCCGAGACACGTTCTCACTGAGCCGATTGCAGCTACGCGATGTCGCGTACTGATCCGATGAATTATAGCAACCACACGCGCGTGTGCGTCGTGCCAACGCTTGCACGCGCTTCGCCGAATAAATATACGAACTACTAACGGAAATTTCCAACGGTGCGTCTTAAGACGTTGGAAAGGCCTTCTTTTGTTGATTTCTTCAAAATTACAGCATGCCAGAAAGAATAATTTCACAGGGAGTTTAGTCCCCTTGTTATCTTCCAACCAAGTATGTTTTTCAACAATAATTACGTTAGTTACTTTTTGGATAGCTGCAAATGATGGACTATAGCTTTATTAGGTTTGAGACAGTAATCCATGCAAGGCAAATTATTAACTAGGGATCCTCAAACTGAACACAATGCCAGAAAAGTATATTAAAAGTAAACCCTTATCAAACAACACTTCATCTAGACAAGTGCAGGTTGGGGGGATACATAGCCCACAAATCGACACATAGCCTAGAAATTTGGCATAGGGAGAAAAGCCAAGCCGTATGAGTTACCATGATTAGCTTAAAGAACATAGAGAACTTCTCCGTGATTTTGTTGCCTAATTTTCACCCAAAACATTTCTTTTTTGCGAGTGGCTGTATATTTCAAACCTAAACAGTCCTGAATCCTCCAATTTTAATATAATTTTGCCCACCCCCTAGGGAGTTAGGGTTAATGTCCGTGGATAGTGAAAAGCGCTAGTTATTGTTTAATATTAACCACGACAGAGGTTTTGAACAGCGCCCCAATGGAAAGATGGTGTCCAGCCCCCCCCCCCCCACCCCCCCAATTTGAAGTAACGGAGGTTGTGTCTCCGGTGACAAAAAACCTGACTACTTTTTAGCACAGATGAAAGTTGTGGACGCCCCTCCATTGTAACCTCAAGCCTCCCCCAGACCCCCCCCCCCCCTTATGAGAACCCTGGCTATGCCGCTTGCAGAGAAACCTAATTGTATACTGCCTGAATGATAAGCTTTGAGAAAGACAGTTGTAAGGCCAAAATACTTCTGCCTCTGATAACATAACTTTTGAAAATAGGATAGGTACGTAGGTAAAGAATGTTTTTTTTTTGGCCTTTTTTTTGGTACGATCATATGGAAGCATCTGCATTGATGTTTTTTTGTGTGTTTTTTTCTCATTTTCCCATAACAAAATTAGGATAGGGGCTGTCAGAATAGAGCAGGTAGAGAAACCGGCAGCGGAAATTTTTTTTTGGGGGGGGGCCTGAGGACCACTTGAATACAACTTTCAGCTCTTGACATGCTTGAAGATTGGTGGTTTTTTTTTTGGGCTCCGTATATAGAGGGTACACCCTTCACAATAAGAAAGGGAGAGTTGGGGGAGACCAATTGGATTTCCATGTTCAAATGCACTGTCGACGATGCCTGACGCTCACGCGAAGATGCTATGGCTTTTTTCACATGCTAATAATGTTTAATCAGTTTTAGAGGTCAACCTGCACTGGCCTGGATGAAGTGTTCTTTAATAAGGGTTTACTTTTGATATACTTTTCTGGCATTGTGTTCAGTTTGAGGATCCCTAGTTAATAGAGCAAGCTATTTAGTATCACCGGTTCACTGCTATACTATAAAGCACAAAAGGTGTGGGTAGGTGCGTGAGTTTAGCACTACATTCAATAGGGGACGTTGAACAATAGAGGACAATGGGGTCCCCAATTCCCGAGAGGTCCCTAATTTGGATTTGTGTACAAAACATACGGGAGGCCTTTCTAAAAAGTACAAACAAAAGAGGGACAATAGGGGGTCCCTGATTGCATCACCATCTTTCCATGGGGGCGCTGTTCAAAACCTACAACGTATGTCATGGTTAATCTTAGACAAAAACTAACCTATTCGCCTTCATGGACATTAAAATAAACAGCCACTCGCGAAAAGAAAGGTTTTTGGTGAAAAATAGGCACAAAATTGTGGAAAAAGTACTGTATGTTCTTCAAGGTAATCATGGTAACTCATACGACTTTGCTTTTCTCCCTTTGCCAAATTTCTAGGCTATGTATCCCCCAACCTGCACTTGTCTGGATGAAGTGTTGTTTGATCAGGGTTTACTTTTGATATACTTTTCTGGCATTGTGTTCAGTTTGAGGATCCCTAGTTAATAATTTGCCTTGCAAGGATTACTGACTCAAACCTATTAAGTTTAAAGTCAGATGGCACATCACTGGTTCACCGCTATACTACCGGTATAATATAATATAATATATGGCGAGAACGCCCTCGTACCACACTTCCAATCATCCTCGACAACAACCTGAAGACAGTGGGCAAGCGCCTACACAATGCCGCCAACCTGTAGCAACCTTGAAAACTTTACTACACGAGAACAAAGAAATGTCTCCACAAGGATACAAATTTCAGTGTGTCGGTTTGTATGTGTTCATGCATTGATTACCCACTGGCGAAATCCGCGGGCCACCTCATTAGGCAGGCAAGATGAAGCCTGGTATGTACATGTACAACACAAGGTTATGACAACAATTAAAACCCCGAATGCATCACCATCTTTCCCGCCCCCATAAACAGTTTGCGTCTCCCCCCCCCCACCCCACCTAGAAATTTGGCATCTGGAGAAAAGCAAAGCCATATGAGTTACCATGATTAGCTTGAAGAACATAGAGTACTTTTTCCGCAATTTTGTGCCTATGTTTCACCAAAAACCTTTCTTTTCGCGAGTGGCTGTTGATTTTAATGTCCATGGAAAGCGAATAGGTTAGTTATTGTCTAAGATTAACCATAACATAGCTTTTGAACAGCACCCCAATGGAAATGCGCCCCAAGTCAATCACAAGTCATATATTCTCAAGTCAAGTCTCCAACACCTAGGCCACTCTCGGTCTTCCACCTTCACTTTCAAGATAAGACAGAACCCAAAAAATGTACATGCACAAAAAAAACCCTAAAACTTACCTTCTTGCTGAGGTGAAGTTGGTCCGTTGCACCCAGAAGCATGTGCCTCAATTTGGTCGATGTGATATGTGACGCTGCACAATGGACACTCCACACCAATCTGAAAAACATACAAACTCAGTCCAGTTATTCTAGTTTGCATTAATACGATGCTTCCACGCTTGAGCACGTATTACATGGATCTCTAATTCAAGCTGCACTGGTATTTTGTACAGCTGAACACATCAACAAAGTGAGCTTTGGATGGTTGAAGTGTCTGTTAATCATTTTTATGATATCAAGATCCTCAAGCAGAGATGCCACAGGGTCTGCTTGAAAAAAACGGAACTGGGTCTGCTTGAAAAAAAACGGAACGGCTGCTTGAAAAAACCGGATTTTTTTGTGTGTGAAAAAGCCACTCCGTGTCCGACACAAAGTCCCCGTTGTCATCTTTTATCTTGTAGCCAAGCCAAGTTCTGTTTATTTTTTAATTTTGCTTCTATGGCCTTTAAAGCTGTCGGTTTGTTCAATCACTTTGACTTTTTCCATATTCCTAATATTTATTCTGCCTACCCGAATTTCCAACGTAATTTTCGACACGAAACATGCACGATTCCACAACACTGCTGTCGGTGTACACGATCCTTGCACTACGCGATGCGCTCGACGAAAACATGGTTGGTACCCGCATTTTTTGTATTCACATATCACTGCGAACGGAAACCACCGATAGCTGAAATGATAGACTTTGTTTTCAGGCTGAATGCTACGTGTGCTTAGCACACAACACGCCCGCACGCGGTGAAGCACGCGCGAGGCGCCGTTGTATACTGCGTGCAATTAAGTACGTTGGCCGGTTGTATCGCATGCAGGCTCGACAACAACATACACAAAGACTGTTTTTAAGACTACATGTACTTCAACGAACAACGTTGTGCCATGCGTGCGCCTAAATGTACTAAATGAGGTAAAAAATCAACGCATTTCCACAGTTTTTCTTCTCTTTTTCTGGTTAATTTGACGGCCGGAAAAACCGGAATTTTGAGAGATTTTTTTTAAAAACCGGAATTCCGGTTAAAACCGGAAAAGTGGCATCTCTGCTCAAGAACTATTTGGCCCCATCCTCGCCACAAAAAGATGCCTCTTAGAACCATGCCTGATTACTTTGAGTCATGTCTAAAAGACCTAAATGTACATGTACAAGTAGCTTTGGGATCACGCTAATGACGACAGACAACGCCATTTTAAAATCAAGCAGATACACCAACAGATCTTTTTTCCCGTTTACACACAACCTATGATTGCCATATTATATTGTTCATGTAGGCCATTACTTTTCATCAATTTCAAACATGGCTGACAACAGCTTTTGCCAGGGAAGTTTCTGCATTAATTATTGGTAACGTGTTGATCTTCGGAGGTATTTTTTTTTAGAATGCCTATTTTTAGGTGTAGACGATTTGTTTTGTAAAATGATTAAAACAATTTGCCACCAGTGGTTGGCAAAAACACTACGCCTGTTACATACAACATGTACCACAGAAAAGAAGTTCTGCTGCATTTCACCCCAAAGTGACACTAGTAAAATGTTGTTCTGTAGATGATCCTGAAAGCTTTTGAAGTGCTGAAATGCTTAATTATGGGGAAAAGTTCTTCAAAAGTGCCATCAGTACAAAACTACAATGTGGACAGAAAATGAATTGCTTGTATAGTAAAGAAACCACAGTGATTCAGGTATCACAAATGTACTGCATTAAAGAATATCACATACATAAACAAGATTTCATGGAATACCAAAAATGCAAACAGATTCTTTAGCACTTCAACAAAAAACCTCTTGAGTTATGAGGAGTAAAGGCTTACCATTGAGGAATGGTGAGTTTCTCCTACAGCATCATCCTCTCTGTCCTCATCTGTTATGATACCCTCTTCTTCCTCCAGGCCATAGTCACCTTCTTCGTGTCTGTCTCCTTGGTGAGGAGATACTTCTTCATTTGCAGCATCCATGGCTTCTCTCATCTCCATCGCTGGAATCTCATCCTGCTCCTCCTCCCATTCAGCTCTCACTGTTGCATCTGCATCATCTCCACTATGGACGTTCTCCTCTACCTCTCCTTGGCTCCGTTCTGCGTCCTCCTGATTTTCAAAGTCCTTCAGTTCCTCATCATAATCTTTGTCATCATCTCCTTTTGGGCCGTTTCCTGAGCCATCCCAACCTTCGTCTGGTTCAGACTGCCTGGTATCCCTACAGCTGTTGTACTGCGAGTCCCGGTCTGTGGGACTTTCGCAATCTGTAATTTCTTCCTCGTCGTCAGTGGCACGTCTGTTATTGATCAAGGATGACTGTTTGTTCACAGATGGAGGTGACCGTCTCTTGTGCATGCTGTCCTGCAAACCGTTCGCTATTTTGTTGTGATTTTCCAGTCCTTGCCCTACATTAAGCCTGATATTAGTGGAAATGTCTTTTGTTTGTGGACTTTGTTCTTCCAATCTGTCAGCTCCAGGATGCTCCATAGACTTTTGGTTGCGTGCCTCCTGTGACAGATTATCAAGATCAACAACATACTCTCCTCCCTCAGTTTTTTCCTCAAATCTTTTTGGTCTCACTAATGCAGGCTCTGATAGATAAAACTGGTATCTGAGCTCCTCAAATGATAAACTCTGGGTACTGTCACTTTGCTGAGGCAGCAAATAGTTCTGGGAAGCATCCAAGGGACCTACGGTAGGTGGCGATGAATCTCTGAGGCTACTCACTTCATCCTTTTCTCCTTGCTGAAAAGAAACAAGAGGCCTTACCTCATAATGTCTGTCTTGGGTTGGTTCAACACTTTTGGTTTGTGAATTGTCCTTTTGAAGGCAGGTTTTAAAACTTTCAGCACGAGACTGAAGTTTGGGAGTGCTTAAGGTAAGTATCTCTTCATCAAAGCTATCTTCCTCACAACTGTTTTCACTTTTTTCATTAGTTCTGTGACTGGAATCAATACGAGGGCTTGTCACAGGAGATCTAGAACTTTGGTGGCTGCTGGTGACTGCATTCTTTCCACTATCAGTTTCGTTATTGGAGGATGCTCCAAAGATATCTGTGAGGCTACTCTGACTATCCGCATGTGCATGAGGTGACTTCTTGCTGTCATCCTGATTATTGATTCCTTGCGAAGAAAGAGTTTCTCTAACAATTGGCTGACTCAAATCAGAATCTTTGTTCATGCAACCATCACCAGGCGCCGTAGTAAAATCCTGAGTTTCTATTTGATCTTCCACCAATGTTGGTGAGAGCGTTTCATCAGGCCTCTCCTCCAGAAAGCAACGCCCATCCTGCATCAGCATCTCCACTACATCTTTGGCAGCCTGCCTGGGTCGTCTTTGTGTCGATGCTTTGCGGCGACCTGCTGGGATGAAATCCTCAAAATCAGAGTCTGCGTCATCCTCAGCATCAACAGCCAATTTCTTCTTCCGCCTCTGAAGTTTGCCCTTCGAAGGTGCTTCAGCTTCTGTCCCAGCTTCTGATGCCTTACCATCCTCGTCGCTGTCACTGAGTGCATAGAATGTACAGGCCCTGCTGCCGCGCTTTCGTTGCACCAGGGTATCACTGTAACAGTTGCCAGTAACAATGGGATTGCCCCAGCAAACTCGAGTCAGCACCTTCGCCTGGGCACGGCGGAGTTGAAAGCAGTAGGCTTGGATGAGTTGGTAGATGACTCTGGTGTAGGAGCGCTTGCCGACATTATGCGGGGCATAAAAAGGGTGCTTCAGACAATGGGGCTGTTAGACAAGGGAAAAGTAAGTCAGAGTGATAAATGCCGACGGGGAAAAAGTGCAAAAAAGGAGAAATTTGGCAAATACAAGGTTTTTTTTAATACAACTATCAGTACACCATAATTCCCATTTCCTACACAACTCATAACTCTTAACATTTCACAAGGTTCAATTTATCTTTAAATAAAAAGACAATAATTCCAAGTTCTGGCATTTATTTTGTGCCTTCCACTCTGCAAAACTTTAAAGCTATAGTCCATCATTTGTAATTAGTGCATTTTGTTCGTTTGAAGCAACAAAAGTGTTCAAAATCTAATGAAGGATACTGAGCAACTAACCTGATGAAGTTTCAGCTAAGCTTCAGCTGTACATTTCGAGAAAAGCAGCATTCTAAGATCTCAATTTCAAATCAAAAGTTACTGAATCATGTTTTGAATTGTTTTGAATTGCAGCTATACGCGGCATCGCGCACTGATCCGACGAATTATAACAACCGCGCGCGCGTGTGCGTCGTTCCAATACTTGTGCGCGCTGCGCTGAATAACAAAACGAACTACTGATTTAAATTTTCCTACGGTGCTTCTTAAGAATCACCGTTGGAAATGCCTTCTTTCGTTGATTACTTCAAAATGACAGCTTCCCAGAAAGAATAATTTCACAGGGAGTTTAGTTCCCGTACTATCTTTCAACCAAGTTTGTTTTTCAACAGTAATTACGCCAGTTACTTTTCGGATGGCTGCAAATGATGGACTATAGCTTTAATCAAATGCTTGATTTTGCCGTTGGGATACCATGCATACTTGTACTGAGGCTGTTATTATGAATAATAAGTACCACAATGCTTTTGTTATTTTCCTTTAGTATTCTGAGATTAACCATAACTTCCTGGCATGATTTGCTAGAAACCATACCCAGCCTGGCAAATTCCAACACCATATGGAACACTGCACACACATATTTCTGACTTTGGTTCTGGAGGTGTGCCAACCCAATGTAAAAGACTGTCAGTTTAGGGGTACTGTACCCATCCTGACAGATTCCAACAAAACATGCCGTTGGGGATTGATGGGTTGAGTTCTGCTAGGGTTTTAATGAGCATATTGAAAGCTATGGAATGTTAGATCTGACTTGAAAAGCACAAAACATGTAAGACCTGAATCAAATCAAGTTTGTCGGGCACAATTATTGATTTCAGAGCTTTCTTCCCTTCCAAATGTTGTTCAAGTACTTGTAGACAAAGATAAACAATTCTGGTCAGCAATAGTTTCTTCGATATTTGAAATCAATTTAGTTTTTACAAATGGTAGCTCACCTTTCTGAGAAGACGTGTGAGGGAGTTCATCAAAATAAGCATGTGGAGGGAAAAGAATATAAAATGGTTTAAACATTTTATTTTGCATTCATAAATACCTAAGACAGTTTACCCTTCCTATTGGTTGAGAGCCAGTCACGTGGCCGGTTTTAAACAGATGATAAAGACCAGCTGGTAAGTCTTAAACAACTTTTCCAGTGTCACATGAAATTTGGACTCCTATGAAATCTGCTGCCTTTTAGTTACCATCTTATTGGTTGAACCTCCATAATGCTCACATAGGCATGCCCAATACTACCAGAGAGTCAGTATATCAGACTCCTAAATTCACAATACATCGGCACAGTTGCGTTCCGCACGACGCGCAGTCTGCACGACGCGAGTGCCAATCTCCATATAAGGAGTTGTTTACGACATGGACATATATAGCTAGAGGGGTGTTTAAAAAAACATGAAGTAAAATTTATAATTTTTGATTTGTTTTGACCTTTGGACCGAACAGTTTTGATTTTTGGGCCGAAAAGAATTATGAATGGGAATAAATATGTGCAAAGCCGGTATTCAACACTCTGTTTAAGACTGGTTGGAGTCTGGATGGTGATAATTACCCTCGCCATCAGCTCGGGTAATTATCAGCATCCAGACTCCAACCGGTCTTAAACAGAGTGTTTAAAACTGGCCAAGCACACACTTATTCCCTTATTAATTTGACAGTGGACATTCTCCGAGTGCAGTGTGCTATGCAGTGAGATGGCTATCCATTCAGCGCCATTTTGTATGGGCTGCCACAAGAGCATAAATTAAGCCGTGGTTGGCAACAGATTTTGTCAAAAATTGAATATTAACAACCTCATTATGTGAGACAGTGGCATTTTCATTAAGTCTTTAGAAGTGTTTGTTAGATATTTTGTATTTTCAACAATCTAATGAAATCTTTGGAATTAACTATTCTTTATTATTACAAATTTGACATTCCATATTTTGTAAACCTGTGGTTGACAAAATGTGCCAACCATAGGGCAGCAAGGAAAGGTCCATAGACAAAGTGATTGGTGGGGGACTTTCCTGTAAGGGTACGTAAAGGGGAGTAAAAATGATTCTATGCTTATAATCAGCTTGGCAGTCAGCATGCAGTGCTAGCGTGGCACATAGTTTGCAACATGAGGCGTCATTCTCTCCAGCTTGGGAGAGTGGGAGAGGAACTCCTCAACTATTTCCAGTCAAACAGCACGGTTGAATTGCCACCCTGACGTATGCCTGCTGAGACCTGTTAATTGCAATGACCTCACCTGGTATCAACCAGCTTGTAGACCTTACGAGGTTTATGCATCGGGCTTAACTGCTGGTACTCTTCCAAATCCTCTTGACCGGACATTGCTTCTCCTTCATTCACTACATCAATCTCCTCATCTTCTTCTTCTTCCTCAGTCTCATCCAGGTCTGGAGGGGTTGGTACCTTGCGTACCTTGGCTGGCTGCTCTTGCCGGGGGGAATCCACCTCCTCTTCCATGTGGCGTTTGGGACGCCGTAGACGTTTTCTCCGAGAATCCTGTGACGGTTGACTTGAGGTGATTCTGCAAGGGGGAATAAATAATAATAATTATGCTTATATAGCGCTTTCCATCGTATCAACGATCTCAAAGCGCTTTACAATTATTCCCCCGTTCATCAGGCCATGGGACCACGCGGCAGCCGATATCAGCGCTCAATCGGTCCTCGACCCTTACAGGTACCCATTTATACTCCTGGGTGGAGAGAGGCAATTGTAGTTAAGTGTCTTGCCCAAGGGCACAAACACCATGTTCCTGGCAAGGTTCGAACCCATGCACTTTCATACATGAGTCAAACACCGTAACCACTTGATCATGGCGTTCTACAAATGTAATGTAAATAAGACAGCGTCAAACAGGAGCGATTTTATCTGCGGCTATTGGAAATTTACTTTGGTCGAGGAAGCCGTAGCCACAAAATTCTGAAGCAGCCCGAGTCAGATAAAAGCATGACATTTTTAATTTCTTGTCACATACAAGTAATGTACACATTTGTTACATACAGTATGTGTGCTTATGATGCATTCCCATGATTCATCAAGGGAACATTGGCCACTTAGGAACAAAACTTGACTGCAATGCCGACTACTTCAATTCACTGAAATACGTACGTCTTGATGCAACCACCTTTAGTTAAGTCAGTGTCTGAAACATTCACACTTTAGCTGTCAAAGTCTTTCTGACGCAAGAAATTTTAAGGGGGGAGGTCAGGAAATCTCTACCAAAAAAAGAAAATATTTTTTTTTTTTTTAAAGCGACACGCATCATACATAGCAGAGTTTTTGGCTCCTTTTCAACAGTGTACATCGTTAATTTTACTTATTTGCATATTAAACTACAGAGGCTCATTTTTCTATTTACACCTTTTTTTAAAAGGAAGGGTAGATCAATTGTAATTTGTGCATTTTTTTTTCTAGAAGCAACAAAAGTACTCAAAATCTAAAGAAGGGTGCTTAACAACTAACCTGAGGAAGTTTTAGCTCTGTGAATACTGTACATTCCAAGAAAGACAATATTCTAGGATCTCGTTTTCAATTTGTGCCTGTGTGCATCGTGCCAGACAGAATAATTTCACAGGGAGTTTGATGCGTGCGTGTGTGCATCGTGTCAGACAGAATAATTTCACAGGGAGTTTGATGCTATTACTACATGTATCTTTAAATCAAGTAAACTGTTCAACAATAATTTTGCCAGTTAGTTTTTAGAACTCTACCTTGAAGGGATGGAGAATAACATAATGAGAGTACTGGCAGTTCAGTAATGTTGATTACCAGAAAGCTTTGCAAATCCCTAAAATTGAAAACAGTAAGCATACTTACGTGTGAGAAGCACTTTGATATTGACTGTTTTCACCTCTATGGCTTCCATTCTGGCCTCTATGGCTTCCATTCTGGCCTCCCTGGCTTCTATTCTGGCCTCCCTGGCAAAATAATGATGTTGGTCAAGCATAAGAGCAAATTTGCATACAAACAAATCTGAAACAACAGCTTAATGAGGTTCCAATTACGCAATAACCTAGATCATGATTTTAGTTTGCTCAATGGCTCTCTGCTAAGCACAGTGGCGTACCCAGGGGGGGGGGGGGCCTCGAGCCCCCCCCAAGAGGTTGTTAAATTTTGGGTTTTTTTTGTCCCACAATTTGACCTTCGTGATATGTATGTTCCCTATTTTTGAGTAGTATAATAGGGGTGTAACTGGCGGCACCAATGTCAAATGCCCCCAAAACCCCCCAAAATTTCTACGGCCAAAAATATTGGGCAAGATTTTGAAAAAAATTTAACTTCTAAAAAATTTAAAAAAAACCAAATCCTGGGTGCACCACTGGCTTAGCAGCCTGCCTAAAATGAAAGATAAAAGAGCATTTTATAAGGACATAGAAAAAAAAAACATGCTGATTTTTCTTGATTTACCCATCACCTGGGACAGATGTCATAAAGGTGCCAAGCTCAGAAATGTTCATATAAACTATATATATGTACACTGCACATGTGCAATAACAAATTACCAATATGGATTTAGAGCCGTCCGGTTTCTTTTCAATTACAACTGGTTAGATGCATATGGAGATTCAACAACACCTAGTTTTAACAATGGATCAAGTTCACCTTCAATTGTTTCCTGCACTGACTATGCTCCTGGATACACTTCTCAACAAACTGGGTCAGCACTAGTCAACTGCACATTATGTTCAATTAAAAGTTGATAGATCGGGACATCGGGTACATCAGCGCAATCTTGCCACAGATCAATGATTTCACATTTATTGACCTCTTTTCTGCTATGTAAATCCTGCATCATATTTCTTTTGAGTTATTCCTTGATTTTTAGTCTGTGTGACAGGTACTTCCTTGAAATCTGTGTCCTCCTCCATTACTTATACACTCCTTAGAGTAAGAAGTGCTGCAGCCGAACCGCCGAACCAAACTAAAAATAGCTGAACTTGGCCTTCTGAACCGAACCAAGCCAAACCCGAACCGAACCCAAATGTCAGTTCGGAAGAGAGTTCGGCAAGTATTTGTTGATAGCGCTAGGAATGCTAATGCTTGCAATGAAAGGGCAAAATTAAAGCGCACAGATGATTGACTTTATCATGTTGACAGGTCACCGCACATTTGCAGTGTTCTAGCAAGGCATACAATAGGATATTGGGCAAATACGCTTTGAAAAAAATCGTACGCACCTTGCGATTTTCTCAATGAAAAGGGAGCGTGCTCTTTGCATGTAATTCACCCAGCGTGGTCAGTATCTGGCCCTGCCGGGCCGTGTTCCAGCGTGACGTAGTATGTTTGGACCAAACCAATTGGGGTGAAGCGTGTGCTTTCCTCGGCACAATATACCAGCGTTTTCAGTTTCTTTTCACCATGTCAAAATTACAAAAAATACTTTTTATGGGGTCTGAACACTTTCCCATGTTCAGAATAAGTTCTTAATTTTCGCAATATGTTTTTTTTCGCAAAGACTGTACACGAAAAATGATGTAATCTCTCTAAAGAGGGTGAAACACCCCTTAACAAAATTAATGGATCCGTCCACAGCATGAGAATTCCCTGAAGTCACGAATCGAAAAGTTATTATTTTTTTTACAGCAGCTACTTGTCAGCTTGTTGCCAAAAATATATTTATGATTTCATAAATTTGGCACAATAAAAGGAGGCTGTTTGTTCTTAGAACAAAACTTATCAGCAAATAGTGCCACGAAGGAAGTTTTTAGTGCCCATCAGGACATGCTCAGACAGGACAGAACTCGGGAAAACTGGTCGGGAAAACTGTCAGCACGTGTGGGAAAATTTTTCATCATAGTTCGCTGGGCCGGATTGGGCCGTGATAGGTAACATGGTAGCAATTTACAATGGTCATTTCTCAACGTCATCAAGTCAAATTATAAAGGTATTTTGTTTACACAACAAAAATAAAGATTCCTCCTTCAACGTGTGTTGTATAGCATGTGGAAATTGTGATGATTATTTCTGTCAGACGTGCGCGGTATACACAAGAGTTTGTTCGAACTGGGGAACAGCTTATATGCTTTTCATTGTAGCCCTATACATTGTACCATGGACATGTACATTATGTATGCACTTCCGGAGCCGAACTGAACCGGAGTTCGGAGAAAAAAAATTGAACCGAAACAAAACCGAACCGAACAGGACTTTGAGGATCAGTTGCAGCACTACCTTAGAGTTGGCCTCTTTTCTTCTTTTCTTATATGGGTCATTCCACCGGGTTGGGGTACAAAGTGTGACATATGACCATATTAAGAAAAGCATGAATGCCTTGCTAGCAGTTGCTCTACATAATATTTGTTGTTGGGTGTTTCACTACTGCAGAAAGTTTGAAATCATTTCAATATATTTTGTCAAAAATATGAGCAAAAAATGTCATTTTGGATGTAACATTGACACCGTGTCAGTGTAACGTCCAAATATGACATCTGTACCTGTTTTTTAATTTCTGCGAAACCTTACCCAAATTCACTTAGCGTACTTCTGTACATGCAACACAATAAGAAAAGCTTTTGTTATGGTAGTCAGGTATCAAATGGAGCAGAAATGATAGCTTGGTTGTGTGGACGTAACATTTACACGGCTGCACGGTGTAAAACCCAAATATCACACTTCCATTGAGTGATTTTTACACAATTACATCCACACTTGAGGTATTGTTTCTGCTATATTTGAACCCTGACTATACCAAAACATTGCCACGGTGTCAATGTCACATCCGAATTAATACATTTTTGCTCATATTTTTGTCAAAGTACTTTCAAATGATTTCAAACTTTTTCAAATATTGAAACACTCTAAGACAAATATTATGTTGAGCAATTGTTTAGAATGCATTGATACTTTTAATAATATAACCAAATATATGGATGTAACATGCACTGCTTCCCAACCCGGTGGAATGACCCATATGGACAATGTTTGTATTTTTTTAATCCAGCATAGTTCTCAAAAAGGGTTCGTTTTTGTTAGCACTGTGTAAAGGGTCGAGAATACAAAGCTTAAGTATTTTAATATAAAGAAGTATTTGGAGCTTGTAACATTCAGTTTGTTCAAATCAATTACTTTTCGATGGAACTATTTCTCCTATCAAGAGAAACAATTTGGTCGAGTCAGGAAATGAGATCTTGTGTCATAATGGAATGCTCAAAATAAATTTCACAAGAGGTTTTGAAGTTTCAGAATATCTAATGTACCGTTTCAGAACTGTTGTCCATAGGCTGTGTTCCTCTATCACAATTTGCCACCCCCGCTGATGGAGATGAATCCTCCCAGTTTGCACTTCCTATTACATCCTGCCATTCCGTGCAATTGTCTGTTCTGGTTTGCACCACTTTTTCAGGGGATGTTCCCTCCTCACAGTCGGTGCTTACGACCGATGATGATGATGATAGGGATTCAGTTGTGTTGTTCTGTGTACAACAACAAAAAATATTGTTTACTGTGTCGAGAAAGATTCCTTGGTCGAGGCTGCAACACCTTTCAGGATTTACCCTACAATGTCCAAGGCATAATAGCATGAATTTCTTGGACAAATCAAAAGATGAGCTTCTCAATAATAATGTCAGTACACGACATTTGTTAATTGAAAGAGTAATGCACACTTTTTGAGGTTAGCCTTCTCGGGCTTCAATGTACAATTGTTTGCTCTCGTAGAATGGGGGAGGCATAAATAGCTACTCGTTCAATGTATGGTTACTACATGTAGGCTTCTTTATATTTCTCAGGTAATCTGTGTCAATACAAAACTGATCCAACCCTACCACTTATCACATGTTTTCCACAGAAGTAACCTTGTCTTAATCTACTCCCAGATTTATTCTAAGTTTTTTAATAAATTTTCCTTCATTATCGAAGAAGCCCCAGAGTTGCCTCAGTCATATTAGCCAGAATAAATAAATTCATGTGCGATATGAAATGAGTTGTTTTCCTAAAGCATGTAAAGAGGTTGACCACAATGCATGCATTATCAACCTGCATTAAAACAAGGCTAATGTGAGGGTCTTCCCACTTAAGTTCCTTTAATTGCTGTGTCAGCCCAAGATTAATGACATGGACATGTGCTTCAAAATCATGTTTTCTTTGCCACAACTGTCAATGTCACAACATCAACCAAAAATACTTCAATACTTAAATGTACACATGTTTTACAATCACATCTTTACCCCCCCCAAAAAAAACATTTGTGAGCGTTGAAGTATTAGATGGGTTGGGGGGGGGGGGGATCGAACACAATCCACCTCATATTTCTTAATGAACCATGGAACTAACATTTTTAAAAATAATTTCAACAATAAACTAAAACTGCATGTATTTCTAATCCAAAAAAAGAAGAAGAAGCTGTACCAATTTCTTTTGCCTGGCATGCAATTGAGAATATTATAAACAGAAACTCCAAGGCGAGGTGACCAAGACTTTCTTCAATATTCACTGGCATACCGGAGAATCAATGTACAGAACAAGGAAAACAGTTTATCTGCAGAAATGTTGTTAAACATAATTGTTAAACGAATGCGCTTAAAATTGGGTTCAAGAACTTGCCTCCAAAAACTCCTCCTGAGGAGGAACATCTGCAGCCTCAGCCCTGCTGGAAAAGGATTTCCTCAAGGGTTGTGGAGATTGGCTATCTCTACAAGGCTCTTGAGGATCCGGGGGAAGCGCGCTGCCCCATTCCTCTCGGGACTCAGAGCACTGTTGCTCTGCCTCCATCTCAAGTTTGCTGAGCTCAATGGCTCGCTGGGGAAAAAAGGACACCCATTAACCCTAACCCACCTCACTCCTCCAAAATCCTCCTGGCGGTTTTGGAGGATTCTAGAGGATTGAGGATGAATGGTGATTGAATCAAATGAGGATTCTGGAGGATTGAGGATGAATGGTGATTGAAGCACATGAGGATTTTGGAGGATTGAGGATGAATGGTGATTGAAGCACAAGAGGATTTTGGAGGATTGAGGATGAATGCATTTTGAGGCAGGACTGTCTGATAATTTTGAAGGATTTGGCGTTGGTTAACCTTCATTTAAACACGAGTGCAAAGTTTTGGGATGAGGAGGATTTTGGAGGATTGAGGATGAATGCATTTTGAGGCAGGACTGTCTGACAATTTTGAAAAATTTAGGCGGAGTTGCAAAATTTTGGAAAATTTTGGAGGATTTTGGAGGATTGAGGATGGTTGTAAGCAACAAGGGCCTAGGGGGTTAGGGTTAACCCTACATACATGTATGTACCGGTAACTCCCTAGCATAATTTACTAGGAACCATGGTTACACCTCTATGTTCCGACACCCCTATGTTCCGACTGCACATATTCCTATTCCTAACCCTAACCCTAACCCTAACCGGGAGTAACACAATCTAGGTTGTCGGAACATAGGGATGTCGGAACATAGAGCAGTCATCGGAACCATACCCATCCTGGCAAATTCCAACACCATATGAGAAACTGCACGCACATATTTTTGACTTTGATTCTGGAGATGTGCCCAACCCAATGTAAAAGACTGTAAGTTTAAAGGTACCGTACCCATCCTGACAGATTCCAACAAAACATGACGTTGGGGGTTGATGGGTTGGGGGAGGTTAGGGTTAAACTTAAAGATGAGCAAAAATACAGATACAATGTACATACATGTATGTCAAACAAGTATTCGCATGGAGTCCACATTGTTTCCTGATTGACCCCCTGACCCCAATTTCAACTACAGGTCAATAGTGATCATGGGCCACGACCTTGACCTTCAGCTTGTAAAGTTTGACCTTTGTCCCTGAAGCTATCAATACACAAACTTGCTGATCTACAAATCCACAGTATTTTTACGAAGTGACAAAAATCTCTTTATCTGGCAAGCGTCATCATAAGATAATCGCATTTAATTTAACTATTTTTTTTTCAAAATGCATTTTTGCACAGTTTGCAAGCTACATTTGTGTACAGATTTGGGAAACGTTTGCCTTGTCCGACATGCTTTGTTCTTTGCTAATTCATAGTTGTTTGTAAAAACATCTCTCTTAATTAAACAGTAATTTATTAATAAAACTTTTTTACACTTTCTTGAAAACATCAATACGAGGAAGATTTTAATATTTTCCCCATTATTTTGTACACATGTTTTGTCACTTGTGGGAACATATAAAGTGTATTGTTACTTGAGAAACTGTTAAGCCGTGTCCGCACTGGACTTTTTTTTTGGAAGGTTTTACCGAGACGATGGTAAAATGAGAAATGGTCAAATGTGACCACTGTCCGCACTTGGACTTTCGACACGGGAAAATTTACCCAGACCGCGTGGGAGAAGTAACCGAGCTGTCACAGTGTCAGTATAATGACTCACCGTACACCGAAAACAAATTGCCGATCACATTTTCAGCCGCCGATACGCACAGTAATATTACACACGCCATTTGCATGCACAACATAATCGTTTACACGATATTATTTCATCTTGACACGCTAAATCTTGACGAAAAGGCCTATAATTCTGACGCATTTGTAATGCACGTCGTCGAAGCCATGCCGCTGTACGATGTTCAGTGCGGCAGCAGTGCCATCGGTATTCGTTGGTTCCCATCGCATGCTTACAGAATCGAAGCTATGATGTGGGCCAGGAATCAGTGACTACTACGGCCTACGTACGTACGGTACCGGACCATGATGTTCCGTGCATGACTACAGTAGCGTATCAGGACGAATTTGGATCGTAGAAAATAAAATACATCGGTGGAGAAAGAGAATTTCCGCAAATTAATTCGCAGAACGTGATCTCTCTTCTCTGTGTATGTATTTGTCCGTTGAAATATATATTTTAACGAGATTTTACCGCTCGGACTTGATGATACACCGAAGCGTGTTTCTACAAAATGTTCGGCCACTGCACGTGCAGGTTCGTGCGGTCTCTGTATGCATAACAGGGCGCTCGGGCCGGATGTACGCTTTCCTGAGCCGCTTTTACCGACTCGCACTGTCCGCACTGGACTTATCGTCTCGGGAAAAGTGACCTGGTCAGTTTTCCTGGGCGCGTGAGAAGTTTTCCTGGGCAGCAGTTGGCCAGTAAAAGTAACCGCTGGACTCAGGAAAAGTAACCGAGAGGAGAACGTCCTAGGCTGTCCGCACTGGACTTAAAATGGGAAAAGTACCCATAGTCTCGGTTAGTTTGACCAAAAAAAGTCCAGTGCGGACAGGGCTTTACTTGTTCGCGTCAAACATGTACAACAGTTGAGCGCATACGTCCGTTCTTTTTCAATATTAATCGCAGTCTGGCACTGCTAACAAGGTGACTTTCTGTCACTTCATGAAAACAGTATACTAATTTTACACTTTGTAAAAATAAAAACAAAACATGTTCCGTTTTTTGGTCCCGTTTTTTTGGTTCCGTTTTTTGGCTTGTGATGCCCACCCCCCTCCCCTCCCCCCCCCCCGACTGTTTAAAAGTTGTTCCCATTTTCACACAAATTCACCATCTTTCTGTAATTACAAATAGCTAGTAATAGGCCTATAGTTCGATAACTGTTACTGTTGTCTTGTGTGGGTTTTTTTTATCAGATTTGTAGCGAAACATGCATTTTTATATTGTTCATGTTGTTTTAGCTTGCAACTTTTTAATCTTAATTTTACTCTTTTTACTTATTGTCTATTGACACAGTGCAATTCACCCTTCTGATTGCCATACTGCACATTTTACATATTTGTACACTGTTAGTTTTCAAGTTAAATCATTCGTTTGCGTGGCACTTACCATAATGTCATCTTCTTCTTGTTGTCTCAGCACTTCATCATCTAGCATGAAAAGTCAAAAACTTAATTTTGTTCCATTCAAATCCAAACTGCACATCTCATCATTCAAATCCAGCTATCTGTCATAAAATGTACAGGGTGAGTCAAAAAAAGCAAAACCCAAATGTCGGAACTATTGTTTTAGTGAAGTTCTGCATGTAACACTTTCAAAATCTAGGATATAAAAGCCTTTCTCTGAGTACAAGAATAATTCAAATCAATCATGTACTTTTCACGTTACAGGATTTTAAACACAACCACCGTTTTAAAGTTCTGTCCACAGACCACAAAAAAGGTGTGCGCTCTTTCAGCAAAACGAAAACAATTCAAACACATTAACACAATCCCCATGTGATTTGTTTTTGTTTTGCTGAAAGAACACTTACCTTCTTGTGATCCATGGACAGAACTTCCAAATGGTGGTTGTGTTTAAAATACCGTAACTTGAAAAGCACATGTATGATTTGAATGTTTCTTGTACTAAAAGAAAGCTTATGAATTGGGATTTCATATCCTAGCTATTGAAAGTGCTACATGCAGAAATTTACTAAAACAATGGTCCCGACATTTGGGACTTTTTTTTTTACTCACCCTATGTTATTACTCTTCAAGCTTCCAATTTTTGGCACCTGGCCCTGCCTTAAATATGTCCCTGTCTCGAGACTAATTGTGTCCTGCTTCACAAAAAAAGGGGATTGAGTCGCGCTGAGCATTATTGTGCAATGGCCCGCTCAACATTGAGAGGGTGAAAATTTTGTCAAAATTCGATTTTCAGTTTTTGTCATAATGACATCTTTAATACCTACAGTTTCAGGTTTCATTCACAGAAATGTTGAGTTTGAGGAACAAAGAGGAAAAAACAACCATTTTGTGTGCATTGTTCTTTATTATTATTATTATTATTATTATATACCAAATGAAAGCTTGCATTGTGGGCTTTCCAACCATGTACATACAATGTAACTCAATTTCAATTTTTTGCGACATTCAGTAAACTCCTGCTAGACAGACATTGTACAACTCGTCAAATCGCTCAAGTCGGCCGTCTGCCTAAAGTCCCGATTGTCCGTAATGCATTTCCATTGAATTTTTTATTTCTAAGTCAGCTTTTATAAGTCGTTGTTTCGCTCAAGTGGTCGTGTTACTCTCGGTCCCCTTTCCATAAAAAGCATTACAAAATCCTTTGTGTAAGTCGGCATTCGACAAATCACGCATTGGCATCGACTTACTGTACTGTGGTTGGCAAAGTTAGAGTTGAGTGAAAAGTGATTCCGCACGGCCCGTGATCGCTGCATGCATCAGTGTCGAAAAAGGGTGTCCTACTGCATACCACTACACGGCGCTATAGGATCTTTGCTGCATGCACCGCATATATGCATTGTGAGCATATCAATACCAGTACCCCCTCTAGGCTGTACGCATGCTCTCTGTCCATTTTGGGGGTCGTCTTATTGAATGACTACTGCTCCAGTCAATGCGTGCGTGGTATATACCAGACCACGCACGCATTTAATACATTAGTGTGCACGTGCATATGTATCGTGGTCTCCACTATCAATACTCCAAACGTGAGGATACAATTCGAGGATTAATTTGCTGGATTCAACTCAAGCATTAAGGAAATAATGCAGGGTAAATCAAAGCCAATTAGTACAATGAATCATGTGCGCAAAAGACCATGTAAGTCGGCAAAATGACAACTTATAGCATATATCGGCAGTCGTGCAAGTCGTCACAAATTCTCGGGTCCCGAGAGTGCCAGTTTAGCCAGAGTTTACTGTAATACCTTTTTTTGTGGAGCTGGTCACAATTGACTAGTACAGTGAAACAACTACGCAAATGATAACAATAATTTCATACAATTTACTTCATCTATCTTAGCCTTTGTCGAGATCCTTGCTGATTCCTCCAAAAACAACCAGTTTGCCTACATGTATGCATGAACCAAATACATATTATCCTCTACAACCAATAAAACGGTAAAAGGCACCGGATTTCATAGGAGTCCAAATTTCATGTGATACTGAAAAAGTGTTTAAGACCAGCCAGCGGGTCTTTATCGTCCGTTTAAGACCGGCCAATGACAGGCTCTTGACCAATAGGAATGGGTAAACTGGGGTGCGTTTTGGCGGTCATAACCAAGAATTGGTTCGGTGGTTTCTCTTTGGTTTAGGCCTAATTATTTTTGGGATTGGACATGATCAGGCGTAATTGTAACCTAATTAAAAATGCCGAAGAAATTCACAGACAAGAAACCACCAAACCAATTCTTGGTGTTGATTGCCAACGCACCCCTGTCTTAATATGCATCAGGCAAGACAAATTCCCCAGGGGACAATTGTCAACCTACTTCTCTGAACTGCCTGTCGCTGTTGTTCTTCCACGATTTGAATGCGCTGTTGTTTTCTCTGACCACGCTGTGCAGGGAGGCTAGTACTGGGTGCTGTAGATGCTGTTGCTGCTGTTGTTGTGCTTGGCAATGTGACGAAATCCTATAGGATCAAAGATCTCTGTGTCAATGAAGCAAGCCAATTTCAACTTGGCCCAAAGACTTCTTGTTGACTTTTCTTCTCATTTCACCCCAATTCCCTAGCATGATTTACTAGGAACCATACCCATCCTGGCCAATTCCAACACCATATGGGAAACTGCACATACATATTTCTGACTTTGATTCTGGAGGTGTGCCAACCCAATGTAAAAGACTGTCAGTTTAGGGATACTGTACCCATCCTGACAGATTCCAACAAAACATGCCGTTGGGGTTTGATGGGTTGAGTTCTGTTAGGGAATAATAAATGTTGTATGAATGCTTTTTTACTGTGCACTACGACTTAAGTTACAACACCATCCAGGTCGGGGGAGGTTAGCCCAAATAAAACTGGCAATTTTATCCAAAGGGCGCATATTTGGCAAAAAAGCTCTGAAATAGTCCCGTAGTACATGTACATGCATACAACGCCATTGTCCTCTGCCAAATGGGATCTAACAAAATGGAGTGGAACAACAGACTTGAACTTTTGATACAATTTTGCATACTGGGCAGTAATTTGTAGTATTTAAAGTCAATCACAAGTACAAGTCCTCACAAGTCCTCACAAGTCATCACTAGTCCTCACAAATCCTCACAAGTCCTCACAAGTCCTCAATACAAGTCCTCACAAGTATTCACTAGACCTCACAAGTTCTCACAAGTCCTCACACGCATTCTCAATAAAGACGATGGGGGGGGGGGGGGGGGGAGACAGGAACACTCTCGATAAAGACGACAGGTCATACATGCTCCGTAACATCTATGACCAACTTGTCCAAACCACGCCCACAACGCCCTATCTGACAACCAAAAAAAGGGTACAAAAGCCAGTTGAGCATTGGACATGGTTGCCAGTCTAATGAACTTCCTAGTTTAGGGGGGGGGGGGGGACGACACATTCTCAATATAGATGATTGGGGGGGGGGGAGAGGAACACTCTCAATAAAGACGACGGGGCATACACGCTCCGTAACACCTATCACCAACTAGTCCAAACCACGCCCACAATGCCCCCTATCTGACGACCAAGAAAGGGTATAAAAGCCAGTTGAGCATTGGACACGGTTGCCAGTCTAACGAAGTTCCTACCTTAGGAGTGAAACGTAACTAATAATACATGAGTAACATCTAAACTTATTATTTTGGGATTGGAAAAAAAAAAACTCCCTAATTCACACAATTGGAAAAGTCAAAACTTATCGCTTACATGTACATCATCACTGTCAGCACTGTCAGCTTTGTTTGGCTCTGTCTGCTGTGGATGAGTATTCCCGACTCGACGAGAGCGCCTTGTGGGCTTGAGATCCTCATCACCATCCAAGCTGGTCTCTGCAAATGTCAGGGCTACCTTTCGTTTGCCCATTTCAGTTCAGTGTGCATTTAATGTCGAGGCCAAGAACATGTACTTCAAGTTAATCTGCAAAAGACAGATCATTCTATTTAAGTCATTGGTAAACCTATAACAATATAAAGTATGTAGGAAGATTTTAAAAAAAAGTGCTATAACTTTGTAAGTGTACAATTCAATATAAATTTCATGTAAAAAAATCTCAGGTAAAAAAAAAGAATTGTTCTTTTTCAAAGGTACAATTGATGTACTTCAGTACAATGTATATTTCGTTGTGTCAGTGCAACAAGGTCATATCTCCTAAAATGGCATGAACAATGCAAAACGCGAGTTTCAGAATGTCAACAGGTCGTATCTCGCTTAAAATAACCCGGATGTACACGCAAAGTCAATGGACGTTGAGATACGACCTTGTTGCACGGAGCGTATTTGCGTGAGATATGACTTTGTTGCAGAATGGAGTTACAACCTTGTTGCACTGACGCAACGATTTCCAATCAAAATGTTAAACTGATTCTAGGCGTGTGCATTTATGGGTAGTACAGGAACCGGGTACGCTATTGAAAAACAAAAATACGAGTACCCGGGTACCCATTATAAAAACCCAACCCCAAAACTGTCCATCTCGGAAGTTGCTGTTCAGATTGTTCATAAAGGTCTGCATGGTAATACTGCCCCACATCTGTGCACCAGTACGCAAGATACAATTGTATACAGTGAGCTCTTTAGCTTTATTGTAAAAACTGCAACTATCAAGGAATGGTTTTGTTTTCTGTAAGTATCAATGACGTTTGAATCAGTTCTTTTTCATTCTCTGAGAAGTTACAGTCTACAGACTAATTTCTAAAGATGGTTACGGGTACTCGATTCCATAATCTGGTTCCACTTGCCCTGCCATGCCTTTTAAGCAGGCTAGTCGTCTACAGTCAGATCATCCATCTAGGCACAGTAGTCATATGCCATTGACCCAAACTGCCCTAAATCCTTCAAAAACCTCTTTGCCAAAGTGGTGGAGTTTGGAGGATTGAGGTTACATTGGAAAAGTGTGTTACTTATTTCGTAAAATGGACTTTGTCAAGGTCTTGGGCCGGACCTTGTGTTGTTTTTGCTCAGCCATGCATACCGATAGGCCTGGATTACGCTTGAAATTCTCTGTACTGCTCCAGGATGTCACTGGCCAAGCCTCAACAAGTTGACAGTCACTGCCGCAGGATTTTGCAGGATTCAGGCAGTTGTCACACCTCCAAGGACCATATTCAAGAAATAATGGAGGAATTTGCAGGATTGAGGCTATATATTTTTCCATGATGCCAATTGGAGGATTTTGCAGGATTGAGGCTACATCCTAGCAAATAGGCCTAGGGAGTAAGGGTTAATAGACAAAAGTAGGTGACCTTTTTCAGACATCTACTTTTCGTATAATTTCGTGTTGGAAATGTAGATACACAAACGTGTGCAAACGAACCTTGAAATTAAACAAAATATAGATGGCTGAAAAAGGGGGGACTAATTATCTATCGCTTTAAAGCGGGTGAGTGTTCTTCGAAAGCGTAAATAAACTACAAACAAAGTCTAAATGTCAGAATGTGAAAATAAGAACTTTAGTGCACATTTTCGGGTACAATTCTCTCTCATCATGTGCAAAATATTGAAGAAATGCCTCGTTTACAAATTGAATTGAGTCTGCAAACTTGATTGCAGACTGGAGCCTCAAGTGCTTAAAACGATGCAAAAGAAGATCAGGCCAACTTTACTCACTCTTTAGCCAGCAAATTTTTCCAAAACTTTCATTGGGCAAAAGAAAAGGTCCTCAGTATTACACCAACCAAGTTTGAGGACTCAATTAAATTTTTAAAGGAGACTTTTCTTCAATATTTGGCAGTGGCTTGCAAGGGTGGATTTTTTTGGGGGCCACAATTTTTTTGGACCCCCCAAAAAAGTGTGTCAAAAAAGTTACGGCGTGGGGTTCGGGGCCCGCTTAAGGGCCCCGAAAATTTTTTGGATTCTAGATGCTCTGTGGTGCGATCTGAGGCAATTTCTGACCACTTTAACCAATGTTTTTTTGAGGAAAAGATTGTGGTGTACTCATTGCCTGCCTTTATTGCGATGTGACATAAAAACAAAAAAATTGGTCTCGTTTTTTTTGGGGGGGGGGGGCCATGGCCCCCTTTGGCCCCCCCCCTGGATCCACCCTTGGTGGCTTGCACATGAGAGGGAAGTCAAGTGACTTCAAAATGAGGCTAAAGACTAGACTTGTACATGTACATGTCCATCCATGGTCCAAATGTTTGACAAAACTGACTTCTTCCTTCATTGTCATTAGCATGGTGCCTGATTATGAAGAAATGTGTAGAAATATTGACCTAGTACCCAACATCCTACATGTAGATAATTTCTTTTGGCACAGTCAGCTGACAGTTGATTGATGCAGTACTGAAGAGTTGTTGGACTGGTTGTTTCTGATGCCAGTCTATTTTTTGTATTGCATGTTTTCAGTACCTTTAAGGGACACTGGGTCCTACTAGAACAGCCCAATTGGGCTACAACATGCACTTTGAACAAAATGATGTTAATCTGAAAGAACATTTAAAAGTAGGATATAACTATCCACACAACTATCCTTATAAAACTGGGCGTTTTTGTGTTCGTCCACTTTTGGGACCCAAAAAATTCGAGCTGTTTTGATACTAGTTATGATTTCATCCGTAAATTGTGTTCGCCTTTTGCGGACAAGTATGTAAGAAACACGTACGTACATTAACTGAATATATTAATGATATACATCATACATGTATGTAGGCCTACATTAACTGAAAGTGAAAACGACAAGAAAAGCGTGTTCGTACTTAGTCATGTCCGATGTAAACAACCGAGGGTTTTTGGTCTTTTCTCGGGAACGGTAAGACATTACTTTAGGTTGGTTTCCTTTGATTTACATGTAGTTGTTTGAAATAGGACAAGTAAATGATCCAAAACAAGACATTTCCAGGGGTTTCAGGACCTAGTGCCCCTTTAAGTTTTGGGACTCTCATACACAGTATTGAGAGTCAAATTTAAGGACTAACTTGATTGGTGAAATACTGAGGACCTTTTTTTTGCCCAGTGGAATTTTTGGAGGTATTTGCTGGCTAAAGAGTGAGTAAAGTTGGCCTGATTTAGTTTGCATGTTTCAGAGCAGACTGGGACCGTGAGTGCATAAAAACGTGCAAAATTACTACTGATGTTTTTTTACTCACCATTCAGCTAATTAATGCCCACACAACACATACATCGAAATGCTTAAGTTGCAAGCATGTCACCTGCAAAATTTGAGACCTTAAATCTATTTTAAGGCAAGTTTTTGGCAGTTCAAAAACCATCCACGTCATTCTCCATGCTTTAGAAATGCTGGTGTGATTCCCAAGGTATTCTGGGTAGGTGTAGGAAGAGCCTTGCAGCTTACTTGTTTTTTAATCGATGGCCAAATGAACATAGCGCCTTCTGTTAAAAAATGAAACATTCTGCATTCACTCAGATCAACAAGAGGGCGCTGTTTTATCTACACGATGAAAATGTTTTAGCTGAGGAGTCTTTTTGCACAATGCATTGCAGTACACATCAACGTGATGTTTCGCCTTTGGATTTCGATAACTCCCTGCAAAATTAGAATTAAACGCTGAATTTTTGGTGATGCAATGCTCACAACAGCAACTTTGCAGGGCAGAAGTTTTGGGGATTATTGAAGAAACTGTAGTGAGTAAGAAGCTTGCACATTTGATTCACACTGGTTTTATTATGCAGCACAAACTTTTGCACAATATGGATACCTTAAGTTTTGGGACTCTCATACACAGTATTGAGAGTCCCAAATTTTCGGACTAGTTTCAGAGCACTCTACATGTCCTGGCGTGGTCCCAGTCTGGTGGACTACTACTAGCCCAGGTTAGGCGACGTGTTCATATACACAATGGAGTCCAACTTGGCTAGCGGATTTTATCATGCCACTGCCACTCTATGGTGTTTATTGTGGCAGTAGGCCTACAGTAGCCTACAACCATGAGTGCATGACAACTTACAAGACATGTCATTCAATGCCAAGGGGAGACTATTAAACAACAGAGGCGGTCACACTAGGGTACACTTCGTTAAAATAGATACTAAGTAGGCCTATAGCACGTATAGGGACTTTTGCTCCATTTTTTTTTTTGGGGGGGGGGGGGGGAGCATGGAGCTTAGGACACCTCCGTCTTTTTGATTTGGAATTGATCATGTTCATCTGCGATTGCTACTGATGAGCTGGGTGATCGGACGACCTCTCCAGTATTCCTTACTTTTAGGACCCCGTTCCTTATAGGAAGGAAAAGACTCACCAAAAACAGTTGACTAAATGACAGTGACACTCAAAATTGACATTCTGATATTTCTTGACACATCTGAACAATTGGCAATGACACCTTCTTAATATCAGCAGGTTTACCTTCTTAATATCAGCAGGTTTAGCTTTGTGAAAAGAGGGCACGGCTTTGATTTTAATGAGGGAAATTAAGGGGTAAAAGACGACGATGACAACCAGAAAACAGACTCAAAAACCAAGATGGCAAACAGGAAAGCTCGATGCAATGAAAGCTCGATGCTGATTGGCTGATAAAAAATGAACATCAGTACAACATCAAAGTACAACATGCACATATGATTGGAAAAAAGTAGGAAAGTCACATCTCTTTTGAAAGTGCTTTCAAAATAACATGAGTTAATAATATAGAAAAAAGACTGTTTTACTTTTAGCCTGCAAAAGTCACTTTGGTCAATGGACAGTTATCTGCAAAAGTCAGTTTTGAACAGAACTCGTAAAAAATAGAGGTGTCCTAAAGATAAGGATTAGGCCTACCACCATGACCACTTCTTCAGTGAGTTCTTGCCACTTGATGACGTCAGCTACCTTAATACAAAGTATCGATGCTCATACGGTTTCTTGGCGTGACTTCTCTTCCGTCATGTCCGTGAAGTGTTCTATCGAAGTCCTTATACTAACGATTTCAGAAACTTGTTCGGTCATGTCGGTCAACAATCAAACGTTTTTTTCGGTATACCAACATGTTCATGTGCATCAGATTAAGTTGGTAGCGTCAGTATCACACTGTGAGGAAGTTACACTTATCATAATATATGCTTACGTCACCATTTCGCCAGGAGGTCATTGGCATCACTGTGAAAACATGAATTATGCAGTACGTATGCACATGGTGTCCCGGATGATTGTAGCAGCTAGCTGCATGTTGTGAACACGTGCTTCAACAATGCGCGGCAAATACTAGCGCCGCGTCGCGTCGTGGACTGAGATCAGGTTTCTCCTGAAAACTGTGCAGAAGCCTGGCAAAGTGGTAGCAGCCTTGAGTGTAAAACAGTTCTCGTTTCATTTATTTAGGGTGAGTTAAAAAAAAAGAGCTGAACCCAAACCTCCAAAAATATATTTCATATTTTAAAAAAAAAAATATGTGTAGCACCAAAATCAGTATAAATGACTGGAAATCCTAGCTATTCCAGATTTTTTTTTTTTTAGATAAAAAAATACTGAAATTGCTCAGTCCGTTCATTTCTCCATGGTTCAAATAATATCACCATTTAAAACGCAATGACCCTAAATACCGCTTTCGTCAAAAAAAGAGCAATTTATTGTGCATCATTCTGACTGCTTGGAACAACGAAGAATTGACACAGAATACATGTATTGCTAGGCTGTCGTTTGCATACGACAAGCCAGCGCTTTCATCTGGCGCATGGCTTCCATGCGTCGGCGCGGCCGTTGGCACGGATCTGCATAATTCATGTTCTAGCGACGTCATACGACCTGCTCATCAACTTGGTGACGTAGGCATAAATTATGATAAGTGTACTTTCCTCCCAGTGTGATACTGACGCTACCGATTAGGTACATCGCGGGAAAAATGAACATGAATTATACGGCTGTTGTATGTACCACCAGAATGGTTAATTTGATATTGCAATAACGAGGGCAGGCCCATCGAGGGGGGGGGGGGGGGGGGGGGGGGGGGGGGATGATCCTTCCTAGCCGATCTGATCTCTGAGTCTCGGTGGCGTGAGGACATTTTCTAGCCGATCTGATCTCTGAGTCTCGGTGGCGTGAGGACATTTTAAGATCAATGACATTTGTAAAGCTGTAAAATAGTTACGATGCCATATCAATCCTAAGTAGATCTGCACAGATTCAGTTCTGAATCTGATTCAGTTCTAATTATTCGTGCACGCATAATTGCGAAAGCACAGCTAGCTCTAAATAAAAAAGTAATGTGACGTGCGTCAACGTCATATATACGTCCTATATTGTCTATAATTATACAACGGTTGAAAATATACCAAGCAAAAACGTGAGAAACAAAGTATTTTTAATAGATGCATGAGGCTATCAGCATTAAGGAACATTTAATACCAAACACGACCCCCCCCCCCCCGGAAATAAATCAACTTTATACCTCGGCAGAATTTGGATAATGTAACAGCCGTTGGACCCGTAACCTGGCCTGGTTGGCATCAAGTTACCAATCGATGGCGCTATTTAAGATACTTGGGAAAATGAATGCGCACAGTGTGCAGAGTGCAGTGAGGTTCACAAGTGGCCAGTCTTAAATATCTGCTGAATAGCAGAAAAGCGGTTAAAACGCCTTATTAAAATGCGTTTTATTATTTTTCTGCTTTTCTGCTACCTGAAAAGCAGATTTCAATGTCCTCCTTTTCCAGGCGGACAAAAAAGTGGCCATCATTCTGCTTTTCTGCTATCAAAAGCAGAAAAACAAATTGACCGTTTGTAACGATGCATTTTTTCTGCTTTTCTGCTATACCTGAAAACCAGATTTTGCTTAGGTAGCCGAAAACTTGTCGACCTCCATAGGACATTCAGATTTTTCGTGTTTATTAGGATTTTTCAGCTCAAAAAAATATGTTCCGGACATGCTATACATTAGTGATCACCTTCAAGAGTATCGTATATACTTTCAAATGCTGACCGATACATGTACATGGTATTATGTATTAGCAATTTTTTAACGGTCAAAAATTCGGAAGAGGCTAGTGTTTTTATGGAGAATTTACTGTGTTAAGCACAGTGTCGCGAGGGCTGTTGAGCAAAAGGTCCGCAAGTTTTTCACATGATTTTTATTCATACAGATGCGAGTAAATGCTAAAAAAAGGTAGTAAATGCAAACGCCAGTTTTTATTCATACGAACTATGGCATTAATTGTACTTTATGAAGTTTGTTACTATCAATTTTTTTGAGATTTACATGAGCCTAATGAATGCAGTATTTTTTTTCAAATGAAATTATTCATATGAATTTTTGATTCATACAGATGCGAAAAAAATAGATTCTTAAGCATTGGCCAAGTTATATTCATACGATTATATAGGTTTTCCCTGCTATTTTAAAACGTTTATCATTCAAATTCACCGTTTTAAATATTCAAATTCGTCCATCAACATCGATTTAGTGCACTGTAAATTTTCGTCTTTTGTCAGACAATTTCAAATTCAGTTCAAGCAAATTAAAACAATGAGCACACGTTTTCGTCCCGGAGTATTCGATTTCGTCTCGTCTACGCCACACCTTGTCATTTAGGAATCAAACTCGTCTATTGATTGATATAAGAGACGGATATTTGATCTATGAATGCTGCCATTCGGCAACATCTTAGACGAATTTGATGTGTAATGACGAATATTCTCGACCCGGTGACTAAGAGACTGACCAAACTTTAAAATTGAATGGTAAATGACTAAATAGGTTTTGTTAATAGCGTGTGAACAATTTCTTGGACGAAATTGAATGTTAGAGCTGGTGAATTTCAATCAAAACTGTTTTGAAATAGCCGGGAAAACCTCGTATCATTTGCACTTTGCGAAGTTTGTTAAAATTAATTTTCGTGATTAACACTAATAAATACAGTAATTTTTGAGCAGAATTTTGTGCTTTTATATTTTCCAGGTAGTTAACGCTTAAAGTGACATTTGCACTTTATGAAGTTTGTTAATATTAATTTTTCGCGATTAACATTAATAAATGCAGTAATTTTAAATGCTATCGCATTGGTAATAAATGCGAAGCCAGTTTTATTCATACGAACTATGGTATTATTTAGTTAATTGCTGAAGTTTGTTATTATTATTTTTTTTGCGAGTAACATTACAAAGTGCTGTAATTTTTGCGTAGTATAATGTGCTTTTATACTTTGGAGGTAGTAAATAAACGCATTCATGTAGCAAAAGCTAAAAGGCAAAAAGGAATTAGTTTTAGCAAATGGGTTTTAGTAAAAGCGTTCCTTTCATTGTCATTCATATTGATGCGAGTAAATGCTTAAAAATTGGTAGTAAAAGCAAATGCCATGTTTTATTCAGACGAACATATGGCATCATTTGCATTTGGGCATCATTTGCAAGTTAGCGCATGATTATTGGCTTTATCAAGGTTGTCCCAACCAAGCATTGAAAATGACATGTGCATATTTGAATTTTGGAGCATTTACTCCTTTTTATTCGCACGAAACCAAGTGAACGATTATAAAATTATTTCTTTATTTCTGGTAATGAAACAAAGGATTCCTCAACAGTGCATGCCACACGTACTGTAGCTTGAAGAAACCTGAAGAAACCTATGTGGAGAGAAGAAAGTGAGAGAAAATTAAAATTTTCGGGTGGGAGAAAACCCCTAAAGAATATTCTGGGAAACCGCGCCCACGACTGTTCTATCAATTTGCCTAGCCCCACCCCAAGATACAAGTTGACCAAACACCTTCAATTCTGTATAATTAATATTAAATAGAGAACATGCAATTCCTAATAAGGCAAGAAAACCTGTAAGGTAGCTGTAAGATTGGAATGTCCATTTACTGTATACAATCCCAGTAGGATCTAGAAATCAGAGAGAGAGCGTCACAGCCAACCGAATAAATCACATCGGCTCAAGTACAACTTCGTCTCTTACTGTCTTCCTTGTCTATATAACTTCACGGGTTATACTATCAAGAGAAAGTTCATATGTAGCCATTTCATATTCAACCTCCGGTGACCTTACGAGAGGTCATGAGTGACCTTTGTAAAACCATAGCCTATCTATGGATACTAATAAGATTAACACAATTCGTCACCGTTTTCACGAACAGCCACATACTATATATATTATGTTGATTTTGAAGTAAAGTGTTTTCGAGATAATCACAAAAGAAGTTTCTCATATTTTAAAACTGCAAGAAATACTACTTTGCAACAACTTTGTGCAGCAAGGAAACCATCACACGATTCTACGTGAGCTGAAGTTTTACATAAACCCGGTAATAAGACTTAATAAAGCAGTTAATTAGTGGAAATTAATTAGTAAAGATATGTGGCTCTTCGTGAAAACGCAAATTCACGTTTCCGACGTATTGGCCCTTTCTGTTCAACGTGTATTTCCATAGGCGCGCGTGAGTACGCGCTTGCGCCTGAGAATGTAACAAAGATATGTGGCACTTCGTGAAAACGCAAATCTCATTTGACCTACTTTTACGTATTTCCGTGCAATGAGTTTTGTACGCGTTCAAAGGGCCAAAATGTATGTGGCTCTTCGTGAAAACGCAAAATGCAGTTATCGAGATTTCTGCCCCTTGCAACATTAATGTAACTTAGAAATTAATGATGTTTTGCTTACAGAAACATGTCAAAATGGTTAAGTACATTGTTTTAATGCGAAATATTGAAAAAAATCAAAATCGAAAAAAATTGTAATTTTGGACATATGTGGCTCTTCGTGAAAACGGTGACGAATTGTAAATGCCACTTTTTATGGCCTAAGTCTAAAACTTAAATCTTTGTGCCATGAAAAGTATTTTCAGATGTGGGGACATCATATTTGACGTAGTGATACCCTTGGAGAGGTCAATGGACTCTGTATATCTTAGCTGCTATATTTATTCGTCGAAACACCAGTTTTTGTGACATAAGCCTCCATAGTGCCAAAGAACGGTATTGCACCTATTAGTTTAGTCATGTCATGAATCAGACCCTACAAACAATTTTGAGGTGACCTCTGACCTCATTTCTCCTTGTTTTATTGGTAGATGCGATATGATGAGATTGGAATAGAAATCTGTGGATTTGTGGGAAAAATGTAAATATTTCAAGTAATAGTCACTCTTGTGTACTTACTACACCCTGCTGTATCCAGTCATCAGAGGTCAATTTTGAAAATTTCCCGCGTTTGATCGTTATATTTACATTGAATGAAAACTATACATAGACTTAGGTCACAGGAAATTGATGTTTTCAAGAACAATAGGTATAAATAGAGTATTCAAAGGTCAGTGACCCCTCAAATGTTACCAGGGGTCAGCTATGAAATGCCTTCATATCTGAAATTTGTTGTCATGGTATGAAGACTTCCGTATGCCAAGTAACATGCTTTAATCACAAAATGCACAATTTTGTCCCTGGCCGTATGCCGTACCACAAGCATCATCCTGGCCTAGCGACATGTATGGAGTACCGACCACTGATCTCTATATAAAGACTGGATAGCTGATATGCATACAACATTCACACAGTAGACTTTGCATATTGACCAATTCGCCCCCGGTCTCACGAAGATGGCCGCCTATAATAGACCGCTTGCAGACGCGTTCGATAATCGACGCGCGAAGGCGCGCGAAGGCGCGCGACGCCATGTTGTGGGACAAGCGCATATCTATCCATGCACATTTTGTCCCACAACATGGCGTCGCGCACCTTCGCGCGTCAATTATCGAACGCGTCTGCAAGCGGTCTATACGAACGTTCTACGCGTATATACGCGAATATACGCGCGCGTTGTATCAACAGTTGACGCGCATTTTAGTCACGTACACATATTATGATGTTCTAAAAAGGGACACATTTCCGTAGTGATTATTATTTCAAAAACGCCGAAAAAGTGATTTGCGGCATTATAAAAGTAACCACGACGTTAGAAAAATTGTAGTAAACCTTGGTCAGTTGGTCAGTGGTGGTGGTCAAAATATAAGTCAACTGAACCGCGACGTTACAAAAGAAATCATGCTGTCTATAAAGACGGCAACTTGTCCTTTGTAGATCACCAGCCGGTCTCACCAATATGGCGTCAAATGCATTCATTGTGCGGCTCTTTATTAGCTATCCAGTCTTTATATAGAGATCAGTGGTACCGACGCGCACAAAATGTGTGTGAAACACATAAGCGCGTGACTCAGCCCATGTCATGACTGAACCAACACGCGCGCGTACCCCATTCGTTTACACTACACTTTAGAACTTCTGGTTCTAAATGACGTCACACTTCGGTACTCCATTGTCCGTTGCCTAGGGAAATCTCGGGAATTTTACAGAAAGAATTCACGTAAACGACCTACCCCCCCCCCCCGGAAAAAAATGTACATCAATTTATGGGTAATCTGATTACAAAGTATGAATTACATGATCGATTATTTTTTTCAAGAGAAAAAGGTGATCTTTTTATTTTCAACGAAAACTGTTTTTAATTTGACACCCGATGACGTCGTCATGACGTCAGAATAATCTGCACCAAGCGGGATCAGGGTCGATTATGTTCAAAATTTCAGTTCATACCATAAACTGTTTCGAAGGAAAGTTGCGCGGAATTATCGTCCGGAAAAAAGAAGGAAAACTCTAACGATTTTTAAAAGATGATCGGTTCATACCGATCACATTAAAATAATGGTTAATTCATTCCATTTCGAAAGGATGACCGGGTCGTGCCCTAGCTATCACCCAATTCGCGCGCCACAGGGTGGTGTGGCCACCTGTTTATAGATATGGACATAAGCGCGGCAGTTAACAGTTTCCATATTGTTTGTTGAATTGAATGGACTTTTTACTAATAAATTTTATGCACGCATGCGCATAAATAGACCTGGCGGCGAGACGCCAGGTGGTCCATTGAAAATGTACAGGGGTCCAAACAGTCGGGTCATTTTCTCTCAATTTGTTTAGGATTTGGCGCTTTGTTCTTTGAGAAACCCCATTAAATTGCCAGAGGCATTACTTCCTGGCCTAAGTGTGATTTGGGGGAACAAATTAAGAAAAAATGACTCAAATGTTTGGACCCCTATACATTTTCAATGGACCGCTTTGGCTTCTCGCAGCCAGGCCTGTTTATGCGCATGCGTGCATAGTTATGAATTTATTAGCAAAAAGGTCCATGCATGGCCATGGAGCCTCGAACTGAATGGAGGATAAGACAGTGGTAACAGTGTTTTGGTTCCCGCCCCATATTGCATTGTGTACAAACGTGCATATAAGCGATAGAACACGCAGGGCACCGTACACATGCCGCTTTGAGTTCTGTGGGAGAGGAACTTCGCTTCATTTTTGCTTCATTTGAGCTGGAAGGAACCGCATCCACATTGCAAATATGCCGTTCAGCTACGTGAGAAGTGAGTATATGGATAGTGATATCCAAGACCATTATCCACACAAACAACTGGTTGAGCACAGGTATCATGGTGATCTAATTGTCACGGCGTCCAATCCCATTTGTCAATTTTCTTTAAAAATACTGCAAATTTGGATCGTTGCTTACTTACAAGGTAATTTTACTCAGTGAGGAATGTGCACTATTTTTTTTTTCATTGTGAGATTTCTTACGCTGCATTGTGTTTGTTTTTCAGAGAGTTTTTTTGCCGCTCAACCCTCGACGACACGAGGTTCTCCATTTATCCTCGGTGGGGATCCAAAAGGCAAAAAATTCCTGTATGTGAACGAGAAAAATGTCTTCATCAGAGACATTGAGGTATGTACACTTTCATCATTTCATTTTAATTCTTTCTGGTAATGAAACCAAGGATTCCTCAAGTACCCTAATATAAGCACTGTAGCTCGCAAGCCTGAAGAAACCTGTGGAGGGAAGTCAATGAGAAGAAATTACAGTTTTAGAGGTGGGAGGAAAAGCCCTGAGGAATATTCTGAGGAAAACTTGCGGAATCAGGTAGGGACTGAAAACCCAATCCACATAATTGGCCCGGGCGAGATTCGAACCCGGGTCACAGCGGTGGAAGGCGAGGAAAGAACCACGCTACGCCAACCTGACTCCCCTAACATTCAACTTCCCTCGCGGAGAACCTGTTGTTTATTAATGATTGTTCTCTCTACCTTCCTCAACTTAACCCTAAGCCCCCCCCCCCCAAAAAAGTCTCCGGTTTCTGGTATGGAGCTTGCCCAAAAAGTGGTGCGGCGACGCGGCTTTTTTTTTTTTAACCTGTTTTTTTTTGCTTCAAATGTCGGCTGACGACTGCAAATGGTGCCCGACTAAACTTAATGCAAATATATGGGAGTCCAGAGAGGCCACATAAAGCTTATTCTCGATCATAACCCCCATCTAAAAACACGTTAAAATTGTGCAGCAGCAGGATTCCAGTCAAACCAGTGAGTTTGGCGGTTTTGAGACATCATCTTTTATTGAAAAAAAACTTTTTCGTTTTGCCGACGCGCATGGCTACGGCGACGCGCGCGCATACCAGAAACCGGAGACTTTTTTTTGGCCTAAAGGGGCCGGGTTATTTTTACCATCTCTCAGCCGGGGGGGGGGGGGGGGGCGGATTCCGACCCCCCCTAAGATCTAGGCCACTGAGTGACGAAAAATTTTGAAACTCGGCACATGCATAGAGCAACTCTTCCTAAACATACCCAAGATATTTCATGACTATAGGTCAAAGGGTTTTGGAATTATGGCTAATTAATTATTCATATGTACGAATGGCAATTCTGCTCTGTGTACACGACGTATATGCGAAAATTCAGTTTTCACGGCGCGTATAGCGCCGGAAATTTTTTCGCTACGCGGCAACCCGTGGTCCGATTTTTATGTTTTTGATATCAAAAGATGCGCAAAGCTCGAGGCTAAAAAGTCATAACAGCTCGGGTCGCGAAAATCATTTTTTAGAGGCTATCACGGAAAATGTTGAGGGGGGGGGGAGGGCGGATTCCGCCCCCGGCCCCTTTAGGGTTAACTCCACAAACATAACAAATGTGACTCAAACTTATATTTGAATTTCTTCGTCTAGGTATTAAGAGCTACACATCCACGCACGCTAAAATTCCTGAAAATTGTGTTTCCCGAATTTCAAATGTTGACTTGTTTCACTTGATTTTTCTATAAGGAAGGGTGAGTTTGATAACCTTCCCCGTTTAAACACGGAGTCACACCCGGGGAAGCCATAGCCTTTAGTCCAGGCTTGCCTGGTTATTATACCCGGACGTGTGGCCGCGTCGCCCCGGGTTGCTGGCACGAAACAAGACCAGTGCGAGTGGCGAAAGCAATTCGCCACTCGACTAGATCGGCAGCGCGTGCATACGCAGGGCCTTGCATGGAGGGTCACGAGCTGGAGGAAAGATACCATCGCGCGCCAAACGTGATGAACGCAACGCCGTTTACGCGCATGATGAGTGTTTATTTTAAACATTGAATGCTAATAGAATAAAAAGACATTTTCATATAATACACAGAGAATAACAAAAAGAAAACATCGTTCTCATACGTTGTTGTTTATTTCAAGCATTATCTCCGCGAACATGGATGGTTAAAATTATGTTTACTTAGTTCATTATGTGAAACAAGTAACAACAACACAGCTTCAAGTCATTTCAGAAAAAAATTATAATGACCTAAAATTTTCTCATGAAACAGAATGGTGGAGAAATGATGTTTAATTTATGTTTAAACATGTATAATATAATATTACAAAAATATATTCAAACTTACCTTTGTTCGGGGGGGGGGGGATAAGAATGCTACTTCAATTTTTAATATGATTGTGCATCTAATTTGGTTCGAACATTCGTCGATTAATAGGATTTGTTTTTTTAACATGAAATGAAATATTGGGCAAGCGAACTCTGTCAACCCTAGCCCTGTGCAAAGTTTGTTTCGAAGTTTTTACCAGTTATTGTCTTATAGGCTGCAAATTCTGGACGGAAATTTGTTGTTTTACTTGAGCAAAATTAGTTGGCTTAAAAGTTAACAGGATTATAATTTTGCAGAAAATTAAATGATTATCGTAACTGAAATTGAAAGCGGCACGGGTACGTTATTGTTTGAGCGCAGTGCGTACGTACTCGGTGCGCATTTCTAGCTTCAGACGCGTTGAGCAAGGTCGCATGCTGGAGGATACATTTAGCTCCATTGCTTTACGTTAATTTATTGCGCGTCCACGAGAGACAACAAATATGGCGGAGATTTATCGCACTGTGAATGGGCGCGTGTGGACGCGCTGCCGATCTAGTCTTTTTTTTTCTATGTTAATTTCCTGGGCTGGAATTCGGACTTAATATCCCCTTTCTAAAACTCTTCCATTTGCGACAAATCAACCCACCTTGGACATTCGTAGTTTTTGAGTAAAATCCATATATCTATTTCGTGAAAAACTTGTGGGGTACCAAAACGGTACCCCGCAAGTCGGTGGGCATTCCTTGTGGGGTACCTCCCATTGTTCCGGTACCCCACAAGGCAGTGTTTGTACACGCACACAGACATAACGCTAGGGAAGCCACGAAATGAGGTTAATCGAACGCCGCGGTGTTTTTGCCAAGGCATTCTTGAAAATTAAGGTGAAATGTTGCTTTTGATCTTGGTCTCCCCCAACTCTCCTTTCCGGCCGTTGAGGAGGTACTTAATGTGCACGGGGCCCATACACTGGGAATCTAACTATGATAGAAATTGTACCCTCGGACTTCGCAAGAATTATGTCTTGTGCTTGAAACTGGCGTGGAAAATCACGCAAAAAGGGGGTGGTTGCGAGCGTTTAGTATATGTACTCAGAAAAGGGAAATTATGTAAAATTTGAAAAATAATATTGAATTTAAGTGGAAGGGAAAGTAATTACACTGAAACAGAATCTCAGTATGCTGCTGCTACGTAGCCATCGAAATCACTTGAATCAAGGAGATATTTCTGATTTCTTCCGTGTTTAAATGCAAAATTCGGTAACGGGACAACAGTAAAGACCAGAAAAGTTGCGAAGGCCACCAAGGGAAAAATGAGGACACAATTACATTGGCAATGATGCATGGGATTAAAACTACAGAGGGACCAACAAGGCATTTTCGCCGTTCCAGTTCTGAGCAAAAGCATCTACGACTAATGAGCCTGGGTTCCAAAACCAGGAATATAATTGAGGTAACTAAGCATTGTAAACAGTGGCGAAGCAATCAATTGTGAAAGGACCCCAACGGGCGTTAATGACGTCGAAAAAAATTCAACTGAGAGAGACCCGTCATCTGTGTCAATGATTCTGCTGACGAAATCGGCTTGATCATTTTGTGCCCTGGGTATCCACTCAACATCAATCAATGCGAACTGAATTACTGAGACAAATGTTTAAAACATTGACGGCCAGATTGTTTAGGTGTGGTAATATTATTATACTTCCTGGTCGAGAGCGATCTGAGCATGGTCTGAAAATTGCTTAGGACGTGGGATGACAATAAAACCGTCGTCCAAATAGGATACCGCATGACCTCCAATGTGTAACCAATAGTTTGAGAGCTGTGGTGAATATGTATGGTGCCAACCGCCGAGGTGAGCCCAAAGGGCAAAACAGTGAATTCGAAATATGTCGACCCCGTTAATTCGACAAGTAAATCCTAAATAACGTTGAAAAACGGGGGCGATGTCGAAATGATGACAGCCCCATTTTAAGTCGAAGGACATCATGATAGCATTTGCGGAGAGAAAGTGAAAAGTTGACTCGCAATCATCCAATTTAAAGTGCTTTTTGTGTATGTACATGTATTATGAGCACTGAAGTCTGTTTATCTTCGAAGCCAATTTTGCGACGGATAAGAGTCTGGTTATTTAGGATGTATTTCTCTAAAATGCAGGAGGAGGCGCGGGTCTGCCCCCCTCTGCCCCCTCCCTATCTTTTGGTCTCCACCCCCTCAAATTCCATACAAAAATGGCAGTAGCAAAATGATCGATGGTGACGTCACATGCGAACTGTCTCACCCGAAAAAAATACTCGTGAGAAAGGGGAATTTGCACACTCTTGGGTGATATAGTGTGCATGATTGTGGGATTTTGTCAGCGTTCCTCATTGAAAATATGGTAAGAGCCCCCCCCCCCACCTCACCTATTGATTTTCGGAGGCCTAAGTGATCAGATAAAATAACCAATCTATATTTCGGCACGCTTCCCTGCAAAAAAGATCTGGATCCACCCCTGCTACCCCCCCTAAAATATAGGCTCTATAACCGCGTCTATAAGCCTCGCCGATTTATTGTTGCTGAGAAACATTTCAAGGGGTTCTTCTATGAAAGGAATTATATAACCGTTCTCAATGATGGAAATGATCATACCAGGAGCACTATCGCGCCCAGATTGAACATGTTGTTTTAACTTGCCTGTAACTGGTAATTGATCAGGCTATAAGGATATCGATTTTTGGGATGTTTGTGAACAATATACCAAGGGCGGATCCAGAACACAATTTTTTTTTGGGGGGGGGGCCAAACTTTTTTTGGACCCCCCAAAAAGTGGGTCAAAAAAATTACTTGGATTCTAGATGCTTTGTGGTGCGATCTGAGGCAATTTCTGACGACTTTAACCAATGTTTTTTTTTAGGAAAGGATGGTGGTGTACTCATTGCCTGCCTTTATTGCGATGTCACATAAAAAACAAAAAAAATGGTCTCGTTTTTTTTTGGGGGGGGGGGGCATGGCCCCCTTTGCCCCCCCCCGGATCCGCCATACCTTATGACCACCTCTACTGGGCCTTGGTATAGGCATTGTTGTGGCATT